CTGTTATTGAGTATTGCTGATCACTAGTCCTGTCAATTGATAGAGTGAAGGAAAATTTGTAAGCATGTATGTGTATGCAAGGTCTCCCCACTGACTCAGCGGTGAATAATCCACCTGCAGGACAGGAGACACAGGAAGTGAGGATTCGATCCCTGGAAGATCCCCTGGAGGAGGAAATGTCAACCCACTCCAGTATTCTTACCAGAAAACCCCATGGACAAAGGAGCCTGGTGGACTATAGTTCCTGGGTCGCAAAGAGTCGGACACAACTAGCACCAGTGGGTCTATGTATATGAAAGTATAATTATGCCCGCCCATTTCTATCTCTGTCTGTCTGTCTGGAAGATGAAGTTCACAGTGGTAGCTCCAGTGCTGATCAGCACCACAGCGTCCTTTCTGGTTTTCTCTGTGTGTGTGTACTGCCCTTCTCCGTCAGCGAGAAAAACCTGCTCCATGCTTCTTGATCGTACCCCTGTGTGTAACCAGCCATGCTCCTGTTGCCACTACAGCCTCCTCCATCTTGTGCGTGGCTTTCTCGCCCCACCAGGGCTCCAGCACCCTGCCTGGAGCCTCCGTCCAACGCACCATGCCCTCTCCACTCTCTCTCAAGCTCCAGCATCCCGTGGCAGGCCATTCCCACCACCCCTGGGTGGACACCACCCTCCTCACTCCGCTCAGACTTCTTCATCTCCTGCCCGCTGCCCTGCCCCTCAAATGGAGTCTTTCTTTCCCCACCTGTGGCTTCAACTCCATGAGCAGGGCCACCTTCTTAACTCTCTCTGGACTCACAGCCTGCGAATGATCTCCTTTCATTCTACCCCAAACCTTTGAAGCATAAATGAAACAACAGGTAATCATCTACTGTCCTTTAGAGTAAAGATATTTAGGAAGGAAACACTAGGTTTTCTTTTATAAAATTGGAAGGATCTAGAGGTAAATGTTCATATGGTTCTGAAATCTCCTTCACCAGTTAACTGAACATAAATTACTGAACTCCTCCTGGGTGCAGGCACTGAGCTAGCCCACCGGGGACAGGCCAGTGGACTAGACAAAGCCCCTTCCCTCATGGAGCTGCCTTCTCTGACTCTTGGAGTGTAGCCAGGGTAGAAAATTAGGAAGCTCCCTAAGCCTGTTCCCTCCTGTCAAATAGTTGTCACTCTAAAAAATAATTTAAAATTTCATTTAATATTTTGAGAAAAAACCAAAAAATTCCTGGCAGGGAAAATGACATCTCGTCTGTTCTTTGAATCGTTTTTCTTTCCTTTCACATTATTTTAGTGAAGAATATACACTTTAGTTTATTTTGTATGTTTGTGTGTGTGTCCTGTTCCCTGAGTCTCAGAATATAATACAAAAGCACAAATAATTAAACAACATGACATTTGTTCACGTGTTTGAATCAGGTGACTCTAATAGACGGGTCTTCATTGGGCCTGAAAAACATGGTAGATTCATATATTTGGAGCACAGTTATTGAAAAGGTAATTATTATGCATTATTAGAAGAGAGAAGATTTTGCTGCATGGTAATTTAAGTTATAAAATGACTTTGTCTTTTCTAAGGGAAGGTGTGTGCTTAATCGCTTAGGCACGTCCGACTCTTTGCGACCCCATGTGAGCCCACCAGGCTCCTCTGTCCATGGGACTTTCCAGGCAAAAATACTGTAGTGGGTGGCCATTTCCTTCTCCAGAAGGAAAGTGACAACTTAACACTAAAAATATATTTTCTTTCTAACACTTATTACTGGTATTTGAAGCTAAATGGTTGGTGCTAAAGCTGATAGATATTTGTGGTAATTTCTCTATTACTCTACTAGTGGTAGTGTTTGAAGTGCATGCACTTCAAACACTACCACTAGTAGAGTAGAATAGTATTTGCCCTGGAAACCATGCCTTCTATCATCAGAGAAATAACAAGCCTCTCTGAGGTTTGCTTTTGTACATTTCGTACTTGTAACAAGATAAGACGTGGGAGAAGGGGTTCCTGTGTTACTTTAAAATTAAAATTTGTGTGTGATATTTTCTCTGTTCCTTGTCATTGAATGTTAGGAGTAACTGTTCTACAAATATATATTGTAATTAATAATAATGATAGGAACTCTAGGAATGAAGAGTGAAATTCACTTCCCCATAACTTTAATGGCTTGGTGAAATCGTCCTCACTCCCTAACTTCATACAGGTGGTTTGATAAAGATAAAGGCCCTCCCCAGTAAAGAGCATACTAAAGAACTGTGACATCATCAAGTAACTGAGTGATTGACTCAGTCTTTTTTAAATATTTATGTATTATTTTTATTATTTGGCTGATTGACTCAGTCTTATTTTAATATTTATTATGATTTATACTATTTATTTGGCTGCATTAGGTCTTAGTTGCAGCATTTCAGATCTTTAGTTGTGCCACGTGAACTTTTGGTTGCCCCACGGGGGATCTAGCTCTCTGACCAGGAATGGAACCCCGGCCCCCTGCATTGGGAGCTTAGGAGTCTTAGCCTCTGGACCACTGTTCAGTCTTAGCCTCTGCTGCCAAATAGTGGAGCACAGCTCCTTAGACAGCAGAAGTGGGATAACCAGCAAGAAATCTTAAGTAGATGGTCTGAAAAGAGGTGAGGCAGGCAGGGAAGATAGCTGTCTGGAGAACCCTGGAGACAAGCTTCGAGACAGAGGAAAGAGTTTTATTTATTTTTTTTTTCCATTTTTTTTTTCATTTATTTTTATTAGTTGGAGGCTAATTACTTTACATCATTGCAGTGGGTTTTGTCATACATTGAAATGAATTAGCCATGGATTTACATGTATTCCCCATCCCGGTCCCCCCTCCCACCTCCCTCTCCACCCGATCCCTCTCGGTCTTCCCAGTGCACCAGGCCCGAGCACTTGTCTCATGCACCCAACCTGGGCTGGTGATCTGTTTCACCCTAGATAATATACATGTTTTGATGCTGTTCTCTTGAAACATCCCACCCTCGCCTTCTCCCAGAGTCCACAAGTCTGTTCTATACATCGGAGTCTCTTTTTCTGTTTTGCATATAGGGTTATCGTTACCATCTTTCTAAATTCCATATATATGTGTTAGTATACTGTAATGGTCTTTATCTTTCTGGCTTACTTCGCTCTGTATAATGGGCTCCAGTTTCATCCATCTCATTAGAACTGATTCAAATGAATTCTTTTTAATGGCTGAGTAATATTCCATGGTGTATATGTACCACAGTTTCCTCATCCATTCGTCTGCTGATGGGCATCTAGGTTGCTTCCATGTCCTGGCTATTATAAACAGTGCTGCGATGAACATTGGGGTGCACGTGTCTCTTTCAGATCTGGTTTCCTCGGTGTGTATGCCCAGAAGTGGGATTGCTGGGTCATATGGCAGTTCTATTTCCAGCTTTTTAAGAAATCTCCACACTGTTTTCCATACAGAGGAAAGAGTTTTAATGCAGAATACTATGGGATGTTAGGCAAAGCAATAGACTGAGACTATGGCCATTTTGTTGGCAATAGAGATCAACAGAGAGGACTGTAAGAATCTGCTTACAAGCGTTTATAAGGTGGAACACATGCATATTGTCAAAACATACTCAATACTGTGATTCTGTATCAGAATGTAATTTATTAGAATATTTATTAGACTTTGTAATACACTGTATTTCATGTGCAAATCTTAGAGAAATGAGAAAAGGAAAAAGTGCAAGAGAGAAGAGGTAAATTAGGAGTGAACCAGTCATCTGAGAGGTGAACTGGGGGCTGTGGTGTAGGCTGTGGATTAGGGAGGGCAGTGAAGAAGGAAAGAACTGGAAGAGAAAGGATGGAACGCGGAAGAGGCTCCTGTCTTTCCAGATTTGTTCGCCTTAGAACGCCATATTTGTAATCACACATTGAGGTACTAGCTGTGGTTTATGTTTCTTTGGTTCTGTGTCCAGTTTTCAGTAAGTGTGTTTGTAAGAACTCAGAAGGTTTCCCTTTAGAGTTTCAGGATTTGTTTTTGTTTCTTCTCAATAGAATGACCATCACAGCCTGTCTTAAGGGAAATTGTTCTGTAGGTTGTATTCATTAGCGGATGACATTAACTTCATAGCAGAAGAAATAAATCCAGACGAAGGCCAGACTGACGATATCCCTGTTCCTGTGCTTGACTCTTGTGGTCAAGCATTACCATTAACTTTTATAATTTTAGCATTAGTAGTCTTCCATGTGTCAAGCTCTGTTCTAAGTGTCAGTGATTAAAGAATGAATAGGACAGAGTTCCACCTTCAGGGAACAGGTTGGCTAATGAGAAGGACAAGTGATGAATATATTTTAAATGTTTTGGCAACATGAAGAGGGAGCTCTGTGAAAGACTTGTGCTTAGAGAAATAAAGAAAGGTTTTCAGAAAGTGACTTTGTGTCAGTTTTTCTAAGGTGAATTCAGTTTTGGCAAGAGGCAAAAGTTGGGTCAAGCCTTGCAGGCAGAAAGCCAGATCCCTGTGCAAAGGCACAGAAATGTAGAAACCATGTTTGGGCAATAGTGAGAGTTTAGTGTGATTGGGGTATAAGGTGCATGGGCTGGGAAGGAAAGGAGAGTAATGGAAACTGAAGCAGAAAGGGTGTGTTGAGGCTAAAATCTAGAATTCTAGATTCCTTCTTAAGGAGTTGGGTGTTGTCCTGCAGGGATATCAGGACACAGTGTGTTCCTGGTATTAAGATTAGGTAAACAGATCAGGGGGACAGAGAAGAAAATTCAAATCAACCTCCAAAAGATACAAATATTATTAAAGGTAGTACTTCAAGATCATTAGGCGAGGATGGATTCATGAATAGATGGCGCTGGAATAACTTGTTACTTCTTTGGGAAAAACTATTAAAGTTACTGGTTCAAAAAAAGATTTTATGCAGTACATTTATGTTAAGAATATCAGACTTAGATTTAGACATTTTTGGTTGAAACTCTGGCTTTATAGCTAAAGCGAATCTGATGTTTCAGGTCCTTTTTCTTATACTGAAACTTTTTTTTTTTTTTGTAGCATCAGCAGAAAAAGAGGCAATCAAGGGTACATACTCCAAAGTTCTAGATGCCTATGGACTTTTAGGTGTTTTACGATTAAATCTTGGTAAGTATTCAGTATAATTCAATCTAGTTTTTCATTTCTGTTTTTGTAATTTGATAGAGACTATTTCATAGACTCTGTATTTGATCTGTGAGTATAGAAGCATCTTAACCTTGAGATGATTGTTAGCTGAAAAGCCATGCTACATTACATGCTCATGCTCTCATGATTTTAAATTCCAGACACACCATCCTGTCTGAACACTTTAAGAGATTGGTATCATTATCAGAAGAGAAAAATAAGGGCGTTGCCTTTTTTTTTTTGGCTTCAGTGCACTTAAGGAAAGATGTCTTAGAACCACACACTGTTTCCCCTGGTTTGTAGTGGAAAAGACATCTGTTTTATACTCAAAACATCTCAGCTTGAGCCTATCTGTTATTCAGTGTCACCACGGGCTGCAAAGTAACGTTTGTGATCACCAGTTTGATTCTACAACAGTGTGACTCAGAGTGTGGCCCACGGACAGGTTACACTCCATGAACTGTTTTGTTAGTGGTCTGGATGAGAAAAGAAGCGGGCACCGTCATGCAAATCAACACACAGCTTCTTTCATTGATAAAGTCTTACTGTGGAGAAAAAAAAGAAGTTAGCTAAACCAAGTAGTGAACTTAGTGATGCAGTTTTCTATTCTGGAGCAAGCACCTGTTCTCACTGAACTGGTAACTGCACTGGCTCATGGATCGTGCTTTGAGGAGCGCTGGTCTTATCAAATGGAGATACGCCATTTGCTATGACTCTTGTCACATGTAAAGCACTGTGTGCATGCGTGCTGTCACTCAGTCATGTCCGACTCTTTGTGACCACGTGAACTGTAGCCCACCAGGCTCTTCTGTCCATAGGATTTCAGGCAAGAGTACTGGAGTGGCTTGCCATTTCCTCCTCCAGGGGACCTTCCTGACTCAGGGATCAAACCCGATTCTTTTGCATTTCCTGCTTTGGCAGGCAGATTCTTTACCACTGGGAACGATTAACTAGTACTATCCTGGATCATCCTCACAGTCCAGTGAGATTTGTTTTATTCTCATTTTCTTTATTTATTTTTTGGCCACCCCTCGCGGCAGGTGGGATCTTAGTTCCCTGACCAAGGATTGAACTTGGATCCCTGCATTGGAAGCAGAGTCTTAACCACTGGACTGCCAGGGAGGTCCCTTAATCTTATTTTCTAAAGGGAGGATATCTCATGTTGCATATGTTAACATATGAAGTTGGTTGATATAATAGGTAGTGGAGAAGCCAAGATGCAGGGCACTTCTGCCTATGTCAAAGCCCCCACATGCTTAAAGTATACCACTGCTGAATTCCACCTTCATACTCACTGCACAGGATTTTTGTCAAAATTAGATGAAAAAAATCGCTAGGAAAGTGTTTGTCAGCCAAATCACTTTATAAATTGTTACCAAAGACTTTTTCTTCATATAGCAGCAACAGCAGCAGCAGTTCACATTTAAATGCCATTTTTTCAACCTTACTGTTTATGAAGAACTCTCAAGTCATTGTCTTGTCTGAACTTCTTACAGTCATAAAGGAAAGGTAGGGAAGATAACACCTACATTTTTAAAATTTGATAAATCTTACATACTTTTAGATTAAGTAGAGGAATAATTTCATAAATGTAAGTTTATTCTGTTTAAATGCTTCATCATACTAATGTATTTAAACAAGGATTTTTTCCCCCAACTTCTGCCAAAATCTAGTTGTGAACTTAAATGTGTCTGTGGTAAATTTCAAGTAATCACACTGTCAGATTTTAAAAGGCAGAGACACGAGAAGAAAGTTGGAAGAAATTTTGAATAGGTTGTAGAATATTGGGACTTCCCATCCCATTAAGTCTTTGGTTTTTGCAGGTGATATTATGTTACATTATCTGGTCCTAGTCACTGGATGTATGTCTGTTGGGAAAATTCAAGAATCTGAAGTTTTCCGAGTTACTTCCACTGAATTTATGTCACTGCGAGTTGATTCTTCGGACGAGGATCGCATTTCGGAAGTGCGAAAAGTTTTAAATTCAGGAAACTTTTATTTTGCATGGTCTGCATCCGGAGTCAGTTTGGATCTGAGTCTTAATGCCCACCGTAGCGTGCAAGAACACACAACTGATAATAGATTTTTCTGGTGAGTTTGTATTACGTTTCCCCTTGTGATCACGTGCAATGCAGCCGCTGGGTGAGCTGGAACATGGAAGGCATAACAGTTATTTCTGGAGCTGGCAACGGTGGGCACGGCCAGCTGAGCACACCACTCTCTACTGTCGCGGGATCCTCAGTGGAGCATAGCAGATATCTGCCATCATTTTATTAAAGTAGTCCTGTGATGTGAAACCCATTTACTCTTCCTGATCTAGACGGACCTTCCATTTCAGACATATATTTAAAATATTTATTTTTAAATCAGGAAGGAATTAATCATAATAGAATCGTATTACTCATATGTATGGTTCTTAGTTTGAGATCTCATCTCTGGCATCATTTGCCTTTCTAAGCCTACATTCCCTTATTGTTTTTAATTGGAAGGTTGTAAGTAGATGATTTTGATTCAAGAGCAACTGACTACAAGGAAGTGGTATGCTGGGATCAAATTTAGTACTGTAATAAAACGAGACTTAAGTAGGTAACTGTGACATATTTCAGGATTATGCATGAAGGTGCTGTATTGTAAGTATGCATTAATGGGGTAACAGGACCCACGTGAGTGTAATAGGTATTGCTTTATTGGAACAGACCAGATTTCCAGTATAGTCATTCTCTTGTCCACAGTCAGCATCACTGTTGACTTTTTTCCTTAACACAATGGACAAATTGTATTTCAGTTGTTTACTTACTGTTATAAGGCCAAAGTCCAGGACTGTGCTCACAGCTTCCCTCAGTAATTCAGACTCAGGGTGTTCCCCACTGTATACTTCCTCTCTCTCACTTTCACTATCTGCCTGAATGGTCCTGGAGAAGGCCCTGGGGGTCAGATGGCTCAGAGTCAGCAACACGAGGACTGGAAACTGCCTTTGGAGCAGTAACTTGGTAGCTTGTGGCTCCCATAGAAGTGTCTTGGCCCAGAGTGTCTTGGGGGGGGCAAGAGGGAAGAGGGGTTTTCAGGCGCTGTCCCTGGGGACTTGGAGCCTAGCGGAGGGCTGGAGGGTGGCGGGGGGGAAGGAAGGGCGTGGGAGAGACAAGTCGACAGTCCCGTCTGCTCACGGCAGCCCTGTACTTCTCTGATGGAAGAGACGCTGATGTTCCTGTAGGAGGTGATGGTGCTGCAGCTGGTCTTAGGGCCGCTGTCCTTACCTTTCTTCCCTCTGCTCTTTCTTACCCCACATTTCTTAGACTGAGAGAGAAAAGTTTCCCTGCCACAATCAGAAGTCCAGGCAGGTGCAGATGCATTGGCTAAATGGCCAGCAGTTAAGAATATCACGAAGTTTAATCGGTGGGAATAATTCTTTCATCTTTTCGTTCAGTTATGGGTAGAGGTGGGGGCCAATTTAGATAACAGATTGAGAAGGTTTATGAGCAGCAAACAGGCTGACAAAGTGCAGGGTGAAATGCCAAAGATGAGTTTTGCTCACTTTATAATCTTTAAAGGTTTGCTAAGGATTAGATTCTGTAGCTTCACTTTACATAGAAAAAGCTTTTAGAATTCATTATGCAAACCCTTGCAGCTTTGTAGAAATATTTCCCAAGATATAGCCAAGTAAGTTCTGTAGCCAGAGACTGGCAAACATCTATCCCAAAAGCCCAGGTAATTTTACTCTGTTGAGGATTTGATGCTGCTGCCAGTTGAGAGTCAAGTGTAAACTTAGAATTAAAACAGCAAGGCGTTGACTGCCACGAAAAACAAAAACTGACAGCAGAGGGAGAAACTCTATCTGAACAAGTGCACAGCTCCCATTGCTATTTAAATGAGGGACAGTCAGTCTGTCCTGCCTCTGCTATGATCTGGGCCTCAGCAGTGGTGTCTGGACGAACTGAGTCACAGCCAGTTTGAGCTTTGCCAGATCAGATCAAGGTAGTTAATAAGTAAAGTGTGAAAGTTGAAGTCACATTTTTAAATTAGTAATATTCATCTGATTTAACGTTATCCCAGGAATAAACCTACTGCTCACTCACTTTCCAGTATGCTTTCTTGAATGGCTAAGAGAGGCTGGGTTATCTCTGGTTTCTCAGGATTGCAGGTGTCCACCACCTATTTGCTGTCCCCTGCAGCGTAGCCTGAAGTGGTGGGGACTGCTCCAACAGCATTGATGTAGATTCTTAACAACTCTTAAGCCTTCAAGAAAATGCTGTCACATCGTTTTTGTACCTCTAAGACAAGATAGTGCAAAGCACTTAAGATTTCCTCTTAAACTGGTAGTTTGAAAACTCAGAGAACCAAGCTTCAATATTCTAGAAACTTCCCTTTTGTAAGGTGCCTTTAATATCTGCAAGTCCCAGAGAGGAAGTTTTTCTGCACAACAGCGTTTTTTATTTGGTGGTGGTTTGGTGAGGAGTTTTGGAGGCCTGTGGTTCCAGCAGAGCCCCTGAGGCAGGCAGCGGCATGTGGAGATGGCCAGTGCGGCAGGTCCCAGCCTCCATCCCAACTTTAGCCGTGGGAACTCCACTTTTAGTCTGTTTTCTGATCATCAGGTTTCTGTGTGTTCATTTAAACAGAACTCTCTGCCCTGAAAAAGATGGGAAAGCAGGCCCTCTCTGTTACCTAGAGTATAGAAGTATTTGGAGCAAGGGAAAACCCTAGATAGGCATTAATATGGTAACTGCTAGCTCATGTAACTATTTAAATTTAATTAAAATGGAGCCTTGTAAAAGTCAAGCCTTAAGAAAATCCTTCTATATATTTATATATATATATATAGGAATTCCCTGGAGTTGTGTGTGGAAACACTTTTTGGAACAAGTGGTAAATACATTATGAAGAAAGTCATAACAGATGGGGCCCAAATTCTAAAAATGTAGAATATGTGCTGCTTTTGCATGGACCATCGATCACATGTCCAAGGATCTCCCTGTAGAGCCCTATCCTCCAGTCCCTGGCTTAGTAACTGTAAGCGAGCTGATTTACTTTTGGCGCCTTTGAATGCTCCAGGGGCACTGTTTAGAACGTACACTGTCGTACAGTGTGCTGTGTGTATGCGCTCAGTCGCTCAGTCACATCCAACTCTTGGCTACCCAGTGGACTGCAGCCCATCAAGCTCCTATGTCCATGGAATTTTCCAGGGAAGAATACTGGAGTGTGTTGGGGAGTGCTTATCACGCTAATGCAGTTCTTTCTTTTTCTGTTAGGAATCAGTCTTTGCACTTGCATCTCAAGCACTACGGTGTGAATTGTGACGACTGGTTATTACGCCTCATGTGTGGAGGAGTAGAAATCAGAACAATTTATGCTGCTCATAAACAGGCAAAGGCTTGCCTCATTTCCAGACTGAGCTGTGAACGAGCTGGGACCAGGTTTAACGTCCGGGGAACAAATGATGATGGTCACGTCGCCAATTTTGTAGAAACAGAACAGGTATATAGTGTTTATCTTGCTTAATTCATGTGTTAGAGGGAAATCACAAAGAACAATGGCAAAGCTGATTTTTATTTGATTCAGAACTCATTTTGACATCTGTAATGCCATTTTACGGTTGCTCTTGGCTACTTGTGAGCCTTAAGAAAGGATCCTCAGAAACAGGCTTATTTAGGTATGGCTCTTCAAGTAAGTAACAGTTTTTTACTAATCAGCATGACATTATCAGTACCCTATGTTTTAGTATTGAATTGAAAATCTTCAGTTACAGAGCTAGACAACTTTAGAAAAGTGGGTTTTGATGGAATTAAGTCAAACTCAACTCTTAAAGGTAGGTTGAGTACCATCTGAAACAAGAAGTTTCATTATTTTTGGCTATGTGACTATGTAATTGTAAAATCAGGCCTTGCCCTCAATCCAGTTTAAGTCTTCAGATTAGTTTTTAAAAATTAGAAAAAGCTAAAGAAAAACTACTAAATGAATTCAAAAGGAATTCCTTTTTTTAAAGTTGTAATGCTTATGCTTATATTTTCACTATTTTCTTGGTTTATGTAGAACTGTCACTAGGTGAAAAAAATTCAGCTTATTTATGGCCTATTTTGACTATTTTGTTAGGATAATTTGTTTATGAGAGATTGGTCAAGAGATACAACTGTTAGTAGATTTGTCTTCTGATGTAGAGGTAACAACTTTGTGGAAGTATTTTACCCAGTATTTTTCTCTGTAGGTTGTGTATTTAGATGACTCTGTTTCTTCCTTCATACAAATCCGGGGATCTGTCCCATTGTTCTGGGAGCAACCAGGATTGCAGGTATGTGTTTTGATGTTTAGTTTTCTTTCTTTTCCTCTTCAGAACTTTTCTTATTTTTTTAAACTTTCAGGTTAGCTTATTAGTTCCTCGGATAATTTTGTTACTCAGTCTAATAATGTTACCTGGATTTATAACTAAATTGTATACAGAAATTGTATACACATCCTGGAATTGTCCTAGTTATTCTTTCCTTCAGTGTTCTTTCAAATATCCATAGAAATTCAGCTCCCATATTTCATATTAAAATTTCAGTGTTTTCATGGCGCATTGATTTTCAAAGTGTTTCTGTATTTCCTATCTCCGCATATAACAATTAAGTGTCTGTAGGCAGAAAAATGTAGTAGTTAAAACAAAGCTTCTGAAACTAAGCCTCTCAATTTGAATCCTTAATACTGCTAGTTGTGTGATCTCAGGCAACTGATTTAACCCCTTTGTGTCAGTTTTCTTATCTGTAACATGGTAATGTTTAGTTCCTACTTCTTAGTTTCTTACAACCCTTACCTAGTTCTGACCAGCCAGAACTAGGTAAGGGTTAGCTGAAATGGCACCCCACTCCAGTATTCTTGTGGGGAGAATCCCAGTCCATGGTGTCGCAAAGAGTTGGACACATCTGAGTGTCTGAGCACGTTTGTTGTTATTAAGCATATATCTAGGAATTCCCTGGCAGTCAGTGGTTAGGACTCCATACTTTCACTACTGAGGGCCCAGGTTAGATCCCTGGTAGGGGAACTAAGATTCTGCAAGCCATGCAATGTGGCCAAAAAAAAAAAAAAAGAGGAACATATCTGCTAATGAAATTTTACTTTGCAGTTTGTAATGACTTGTGACTTGTCATCTTCAGTATTGTTCTCTGTTTTGCTTTCTGGTCTTTTTTCCCCCCAAACTTTCCTTTTGTTCAGTAAATGTCTAATCTTAAAAATGTAAGATGTTTTTTTCACATTAGTTCATAATATTGAATTGCCCATACTAGTGTGATTTTGCATTTTATTTTTATTCAAACATGTTTAGTCCCTAAAGTATAAGTTACGTTCATTTTGGGCTTCTGATAAATACTGCCTAGTAAATTCTGTGCCTCAATCTATACTATTGAGAAAAATGTACAGGAAAAAGAAAATTTTGCCTTCATTTACTTTCATTTAGTTCACAGCTGGGTCTCTCTTTCATTTTAGGTTGGTTATTGTGGAGAAAAATTGCACACCCCTTGAACCTTTTCAATAAGGGAATTTATTCAAGACAGGCTAAGAATTAACAAGGATTAACACTGGTGCTGCTTTGCTAAAATTCTTGAGTTCTTGTCAACACCAGTTTGAGTCATGTGGGTTTCATCTGTGGCATTTTGGTGTAACTTAAATAGATGCATTTCTTCCTGGGTCTCCCTTAGGAAACAATACCAACCCTACCCCATTTCTGTTTTTGTGACCAGAGAAGGGTGTTTGGAATATTTGCTCTAAGAAATTTCTAAAACCCTGCTTTGATGGGAGGTGAATGCTTTTGGTTTTGAGACAGGCTAGTGTAAGAGATTCTTCTAGTCTGTTTATAGGCCCTCTGTTTTACTGCTTTCTGTGTTATTTTCTTAAGAAGTTCAGAATTACAGTGTTTGATTATTCAGTAATGTTGGGTCCTGAGTAGTTACATGGAGGGATCCTCCTTGGGTGGGACTTCCTTTTGACTTCCTTCTTTGTTCTGTGGCCTGTCCACACAGATAATTTGGCTGGATAATGTCATTTGATTATGGGCTGACAACTGTAGATTTGAAAATTGTACAAGGTAGTAATAGAGATAGAGATAGTAATTTTTGAGACCTCAAGACAGTCCAACAATTCTACCAAATCATCACTGAGCTGGCCTGTCATCTTGGGTTGGGTCGAGGGTTGGGTCAGTGATTCCCAGTTGTTTAGCTTGGTAGTTTTTAAAGCCAACCTTTCTTTGACCAGAGATGGATTAGTTTCATAAGTATCTTTTATCATTTTCCCCACCACTCTAAAAGAACAGTTAATAGAGGAATGAAAATAATAGATACTGACTTTTTAAAATAAAAATATCAAGGCCCTAAGTTCATTTTTTACTTAGAGCAGTTGTTAGGTATCCTGAGTGTTCTTAGGGCTGGAATTTATTTTCAGGGCTCCTTCAAGTTAGTCACTTAGTGAGCTTTTTCACTTCAGTGGGCACGGACAGAGAGTCCTTCCTTGGCAGTTGTCCCTTGTTCTACCTCTTTTCCTTCATGATACATTCTTCTCAGGTTCTTGAGATATTTTAAAGGAATCTTTGAGAGTGATTTTAAAATGCAGATTCATGGCCTCAACTTCCCATCAACTGAAGTAGAATTTGTTGGAGTAGGGCCAAGGAATCTGCATTTCAACCAAGTACCCCACCACTCAGATTAGAGAACCTGGTGGTAGTAGATCCTGCTCAGCTGCTTTTGCAGCATATCCAGACCGCCTGCTCCAGCGGCCAACCCTGAGCCAGCCAAGACGGCCCCCTCATACTTAATACCAGTGCTGTCTGAGGTCTTGGACTTTTCTTTTCATTCCCACTTTTGTCATCTTGGTTAAGGTCTTCATAGTTTTTTTCTTGCCTGAAGGATTCTTACAGATTTCTGACTGGTCTCCCAGCTTTCTGGCAGTTCTTAATGAAAAGTGAAGTGAAAGTGTTAGTTGCTCAGACATCATCTGATGGTTTGCGACCGTCATCTGACTCTTTGCGACCGCATGGACTGTAGCCCACCAGGCCCCGCTGTCCATGGGATTCCCCAGTCAAGAATACTGGAGTGGGTTGCCATGCCCTTTTCCAGGGGATCTTCGGGACCCAGAGACTGAACCCAGGTCTCCTGCATTGCAGGCAGATTCTATACCATCTGAGCCACCACGGAAGCCCTTTTCCACTTTTGCTCTGTTATGCTTATCAGATCTAGGTACCCATTTCTTCATGTTTTGACTTCCTCTGCCTGTCAGACTTCATGCCTGGCTATTTTCCAATAGGAATCCTCTGCTTCCAGAATGAAGGTTTGCTGTTCCTCAGTAGCCAACTCAGATTTCATGGAGTGGATTCTAGTCACTCCTCCACACTGATCTCTTCATGAAATCCTTGAGTTCATCTCATGTGTATCATTCTGTACACATTCGGGTAGATAATCTTGTATCCTATGAGAAATTCAGTTTCTATAGTGATGCCTCAGAGAGAGCTTGCAGTCTGTTTGGGGAGACAGTCCTTTTATGGAAAAGGCAAATATCAAAATCAATTAGCTTGAGGCATAATAAGAGTTGTCATAAGGTGCTACACAGATAAGAGTGACATTTTAATTACTGACAACTCATTAATTTTATTTATGATTCCCTTTCTTTGAAGTTATTTAGCATTTATAATGTGAAGTGTTCCTTTGATACTATATTATTGATATTAATTGCTTATATTAGTCTTAAAAGATGGTAAGCATTATGAGATTTATGCCCTGCATGGTATGGCACACTGAACTTTTGGTTGAATTCAAGTTACAAAAATACAAAGCAGTAATACTGCTAGAAGATAATGTTCCATACCACTCTAGTAATCTTGCCTGGCGAATTCTGTGGGCAGAGGAGCCTGGTGGGCTGCAGTCCTTGGGGTCGCAAAGAGTTGGATATGACTGAGTGACTAACACTTTCACTTTTACCACCCATGACATGGTTTCTAAAAATATCTTTGATGCAACTTTTTAAAAAAATTGAGTAAATGGAAAATTTTATTACATTTACGTAACTCTTACAGGAGTTTTTCTTTAACATTAAGTAGCAAAACCTAGTCTCGTCTAACCAACATATTGCTGTAAGAATTATGAATTGTAGCTAGTTTTGTATATGTGTTGGGGAGCAGGTAATAGGGAACAACCACAGCCATTACCAAAAAAAATATGAGAAAGCTTGTATTTTTTTTCACCTTCTTGACAGTAAAGAATATTGTGCAAGATGAATGTTAATGAATAAACAAAATGTGAAGTCTTGGACTTTTAGAGAGTTAGAGGGCAGCTACCTGGGATGACTCCAAAGAAAAAGTATGAACTTCATCTGACTGTTCTGCCACCTAAAACACACAAATGTGTCCTGGAGCACACATCTTTCAAAGCTTCAGATTTTATACAGTCTATTGTGTACTAGAAATGAAATGAAATAGAGATATGACATTTGGCTAATCAGTTTCTTACTAAGAAGGAAAAACTCTAAAGAGATTCCACTGATTTCTCAGGACAGTCATTCAGTCATCTCAACAGGAGAGGGAATGCTGAATGAATGATAATACTGTTAATTCAGTTTGGGACATGGATGAGCATTTAGAGCTTATTTTCTGGTTTTATTTGTCCAACTGCATTACTGATTTGGCACTTCTCCTCCGTGCTACCTTTAAAGTCACGTTATTCACAGATTAGCCAGGATGAATTCTGGGGAACCTTGAGCGCACAGTCTCAGGGAAATATTTACGGGTGAAACTCAGGGAAATAATCTGGTCTCACTGTTGTATTTCTTCTTGGCATCTTTTACATCTCTTGATTCTGCCTCATCTCTCTCCCACTTTTCCTATATGAGAAAAAGAAAAATGGTAGCAACACACAGTAGGTAGTTATTTTCCATCTTGTTTAATTCTTATAACCCAAATTTCAAAATATGCTGTTGTTTTAGTTGTGTACCTGAGAGATTGACTTGGAAAGTCTTTTTCCAGGAATGGATATTTTTAATCTATGGGATCTTTGGGTGAGAGAGGAGTGAATAGGGTATTCAGCATAACAGAGAAAGAAAATATGTAGACATTGCACTTGTAGGCAGTCTGAAAGTGTAGATGTTTTGGTCAGGAGGCCTGTATTGTCATGGGAATCTTTTTTTGGAATGAATGATGTTGCTCTAAGAGGACAGGTTTCTTCACTTGCCTGGGTTTGTTCTTTTGTTGCACAAATGACAGTATCTGTTCAGTTACAAAGGGCACATATTTAGAACTTAAGACAAGGTAATGTATATGAAAGCACTCTTAAAAATATCTTACATAAATAAAAATTCCTGTTAGTTTACCAGTGTTGCATAATGCTCTAGTTTTTGTTGTTGTTGTTTTTTTTAATGAGGTTGTGTTTTAAAAGATAAAAAGGAGAAACCCCTAGAACTTATGTCACAAATGACAATTACTCAGCTTACTACTGTGTGCTTAACAAATGAATTATTACATAAACAGTGCTATTTCTTTTGTCTGCATGTTGGCTTTTGGTATGATTAAGCATATTTTTCTTGTCTTAGGTGGGATCCCATCGTGTTCGTATGTCAAGGGGATTTGAAGCCAATGCACCCGCTTTTGACAGGTAAGACTGATGACTTTTATATATTGCTGTGAGTTTTGATGTTGCTAAGTAGTGAGATTAGTTGCATTTACTGCTTCATTTCAGCTTTTGGGCTCTTAAGTAAAATTTCTTCTTGACTCTGATTTAAGTGGAAGATAGTGACACTCATGAATTCTAGGAGTGGTGGCAGTAAGTGTGTGGGTCTTGATATCTTGACCTTAAAACTACTTCTGATGGGTGTGTTATCCAATATGGTGGCTATTAGCCACGTGCAGCTAGCTCTTGGGCATTTGAAATTGACTAGTCCAGATTGACGGAGAAGGCAATGGCACCCGACTCCAGTACTCTTGCCTGGAAAATCCCATGGACAGAGGAGCCTGGTAGGCTGCAGTCCATGAGGTCGCGAAGAGTCAGACATGACTGAGCGACTTCACTTTCACTTTTCACTTTTATGCATTGGAGAAGGAAGTGGCAACCCACTCCAGTGTTCTTGCCTGGAGAATCCCAGGGATGGGGTCGCACAGAGTCGGACATGACTGAAGTGACTTAGCAGTAGCAGCAGTCCAGATTGAGATATGTTGTAGGTATATTATAGGTACTGGATTTCAGACGTAGTGCAAAAAAAAATGCAAAATGCCCAATATTTGTTTTATATATCAATTACATGAAGAAATGATATTTTAGTTGTATTGGATTAAATCAAATATATGTAAATTAATTTGACCTTTTGACTTTTACCTTTTGATTTTTACCTTTTTAATTTGCCTTCTGGAAGATTTTAAATTACATCTGTGACTTATGTTATATTTCCTGTGGATGACTTTGCTCTCTAGACTCTGGACTGATTAGAAGCTGGAGAGACTAAAGGATCCTGTGTGGGGCCTATTTATCTTAAGGCTGGAGCTGTTCAGGAGCTCTGAATCCGTATGGAGTAGGCAGTGTCCTCACATGTGAGGTGCAGCCCAGTACCCTCTGCCCTTACTGCCTTGCCAACCCAGCTGTGTGGCTCCTGGTTTCCATGTCCACCCAGCATTAGCCTCAGGGTGGAGCGGGGGCCAGGTGACTCTGAAAGCTCTAGCATCAGTTCCGTGCAGTTCAGTTGCTCAGTTGTGTCCGACTGTTTGCGACTGCATGGACTGCAGCACGCCAGGCCTCCCTGTCCATCACAAACTCCCAGAGCTTACTCAAACTCATGTCCATCGAATCGGTGATGCCATTCAACCAGCTCATCCTCTTTTGTCCCCTTCTCCTCCCACCTTCAATCATTCCCTGCATCAGGGTCTTTCCAATGAGTCAGTTCTTTGCATCAGGTGGCCAAAGTACTAGAGTTTCAGCTTCAGCATCAGTCCTTCCAGTGAATATTCAGGACTGATCTCCTTTAGGATAAACTGGTTGGATCTCCTTGCAGTCCAAGGGACTCTAAGAGACTAATAGAAAAACCAAAGCTTTGACTAGACGAACCTTTGTTGGCAAAGTAATGTCTCTGCTTTTTAATATACTGTCTAGGTTGGTCATAACTTTTCTTCTGAGGAGTAGCATCTTTTAATTTCATGGCTGCAGTCACCTCTGCAGTGATTTTGGAGCCCCAAAAAATAAAGTCTGTCACTGTTTCCATTGTTTTCCCATCTATTTGCCATGAAGTGATGGCAAATAGATGATAAGTTGATAAATCGAGAGAAAATTGCATTAACTGACTTTTCACAAATTCAGAGTTTTGATTCCACGTGAAATGGATTTGTATATAGTTTTGCCAATCCTATGTGTTTAAAATACTGCCATGTAGGTCCTGTGGGTTCCTGTTTATTGAAAAAAGTTTTTGACTTATCACTTGACATATGCTTACTTCCTTTCTACCTTTAACAGGCATTTTAGGACACTTAAGAATTTGTATGGTAAACAAATAATAGTAAATCTGCTTGGATCTAAGGAAGGTGAACATATGCTAAGTAAGGCTTTCCAGGTAAGTGATTATTTTTTTCTTCTGTTCTGGCCCATGGACACCTAGAATGGTGTTTTAGAAATAATAGTCAAATTCTTCCAGGAGTAAGTTCTTCCTGGAAGAAGATGGAGTACTTGTTGGAACCATTAGTTCTTTGAAGGTAGTTAGGCAACAATTGCTGAAATTGGGATTATAGAAAGCTTTCAAGGCATTGACCCTGTTTTCTAATCTGCTTATTTATGTAGTGGAGAAGCAGAAGAATACTCTCCTCCTAAAAATGTTCATCAGTCACTGGCAGAAAGATACCAGGCAGTTTCCCACTTCATCTGTTCCTGGCTTTGCCTAGTTCCTATAAACCATAGTCACTGTTTTAAATCTATGAAATTGTGAATAAAGCATTTGTATACACACAGAACTTCTCATACCAATGAAAGAAAATTAGAGAATTTCACATAAGTAAGAACCTAAAGAAATGTCTGACTTGTAAAGAAAACACTTTTCATAAATGTTTATTGGATCAATAATGAATTGATATAGTGTTACATAAGATTATAACCTTAAACCAAATGGCTAGAAAACATTTTCTCATGTTTAAGCTAATGAAGTCCAGGATTAATTATTTGACTATTTTGTTTGAATATCATTAATAAACAAGTTATACTTTAGAGAGTGACTTTTTATTGTAAGCTTTTAAAACATTTGTATATATTGAATGAAGGTATAAAAATGAATTCTTCAAATTTTGATGAGCTTTTCCTTAGAAATCAATTACTTTGTTTTGAGATTCTGTAATAGATATAAACAGTCATTATATTTTTATGGTAAAAAATGAAGTGCTGGTTGTTGGAAATAATTTTTCATTTTCTAAACCAAATGAGAATGTTAAGTTCCCTGATATTAATTATGTAAGACCTAACTAATCTCTCTGGAATAGTATAGGAGGTTTCAGGAAAAGGATGCTGTAAGATATTAGCAAGTAATTTTTATTTTACTGCCAGTGGCAATGAAAGAAAGCTTTGTGGAATTAGTAAGATTTCAAGGACCTGCTTAGATTTTCATTTAAAATAAACTTTCCATTTATAACATTGTGTTGATAGAATCATATTTGGTTAACGTTTAAATGGATATTTTAATGGTGGCTCAGACGGTAAAGAGTTCGCCTGCAGTGCAGGAGACCTGGTTCTATCCCTGGTTCTATCCCTGGTTCAGAAAGTTCCCCTGGAGAAGGGAATGGCTACCCACTTCAGTATTCTTGCCTGGAGAATTCCATAGACAGGGAAGCCTGGCGGACTACAGTCCATGGGGCCGCAGAGAGTCAGAAACTACTGAGTGACTAACACTTTCACTTCCCTTGGCGGTCCAGTGAGTGGTTAAGAATCTGCAGTTTCACTGCAAGGGTCATGGGTTTGATCCCTGATTGAGGATAGGGGATCCTGCCTGCCGGATCTACAATTTGCAGCCAAAAAAAAACTGAAGAAGAGTTAAATGAATATTTTCTTTTTATTTTCAGAGTCATCTGAAAGCTTCTGAACATGCTGCTGATATCCAGATGGTGAATTTTGACTATCATCAAATGGTTAAAGGAGGAAAGGCAGAAAAATTACATAGTGTTCTTAAACCTCAAGTCCAAAAGTTTCTGGATTATGGAATTTTTCATTTTGATGGAAGTGAAGTTCAAAGGTTTGACTTCTCTGTTTTTCCTTTCTTTAAATCGGAACTTTTGTGCAATGTCATCTAATGCCTTTATTATACTTGATTCTAAGCTCGTTGTTCTCCCTTTCTCACGGTAGCTAACCTCACTGGGCACGTGCTGTTGTGTGGGTCAGGCAGTGCATGTAGTCTTCACAGTGATTAGTAACAGCTGTAGGGTTGGTTCTGTCCTTAGCCATTCACACTGCAGGAGGTGGGGGGCTGAAAGCTATCGTCTTCCCACGTCACGTAAGTAGAAAGTGTTAGAGCTCGAATTCATCTGGCTCCAAATCTCATGCTGCTTTCTCGTAAAATTAATGTCATAATATTTCTTAGCATCAGTAAAGATTATTTAATGCAAATAAAAGACATTGGTTATTGTCTGTTCTACTGTAGAACTGCATGGTTATAAATCTGAATGTATGTTTAGCTCCTGACTACTGGCCTCGTTAAAAATAAGTGGATGTGGTTGAATGGAGAGATATGTAATAAAGAGCAGATGGCAAAATGCTAGTGCTTGTAGAATCTGGATGGTGGGTATATGGATGATCACTGTAAAATTCTTTCATCTTTTTTTGTATTTGAGAATTATACAGGAGAATTGAAGTGGGGAGAAAGTAGATGCTACATTTTAATCAGCTTAATTTTTCTCAGTTTGTTTTAGCTTTTGTTATTTTTGTTTTGAACTGCCCATTTAGTTTGACTGAATTTGTTTCAGGTGCCAGAGTGGTACAGTTCGAACAAACTGCTTGGATTGTCTTGACAGAACAAATAGTGTGCAGGCATTCCTTGGATTAGAGGTAAAAAATAATAAAATATGTGTATGGAACTTAACATCAAATTCCTTTTTCAGTGCTTTTGTGATATTTATTTTTATCATTAATTATTTTTCACAAAATGAAGCTATGCTTCCTTTTCACAAATAAAGTTTTACTTCACTTCCAGGTTTTTCTTTCAAGTAGTGTCCCTTTTCATTTAAATGTTTCCTTTATCTGTTCTAAATGCTTTCTTTAGATAGCTTCTGTTCCCTTTTATTGTTCGTTAACTTTGCCTTAAAAAAAGAGCCTGCTATTTATACTGTCTTAGTAATTGTCTCACCTGCCTGTCTTTTGGATAAGCAAAATATATGTATATATTTTGTATTCTCAGTGTTGTCATTTTTTAAAAAATAATTTTGTTTGTCTGTTTTTGGCTGTGCTGTGTTTCAGTGCTGCATGGGCTTGTTTTCTAGTTGTGGCAAGCAGGGCCGCTCTCCTGTTGCGGGGCTGGTCTTCTCATGGCAGTGGCCTCTTGTTGTGGAACCCGGGTTCCAGCGTGCTCGGGCATCAGCAGTCACGGCTCCCAGGCTCTAGAGCATAGGCTCAGTAGTTGTTGCCCACCAGCTTGGTTGCTTTGCAGCAGGTGGGCTCCCCCCAGACCAGGGATTGAACCCGTGCTTCCCGCGTTGGCAGGTGGATTCTCTAGCACTGAGCCACCAGGGAAACCCTTGGTATTGTCTTTTTAAAAGTCCTTTTGCAATTAAGGAGGATCTATTTTCACATGTACAACCCTATAGAATTATATTTTTAACAATCTAAACCAGTACAGTTTACATAGCATTTTTTAAAAAATTGCTACCAAAACCAGGATAAGATGAAAAATGTCATTGTTAAAATAAAAGTGAATGAGAGCCAGCTTCTCTAACAACCGTTTGTTTAAAATTTTTCTTTAGTACTTACCTGTCAAGTTCAGTCTAGTTTAGGCGTAATCTCAACTGCGTGGCACACTAAGCAGCAGTGCTCAGGTTCCGCAGCCTCGCCTCTTGCGCGGCTGTCAGGCTCAGGAGACTGCCGCGGGTCTTCACTTGGTTCCGTGGGAGCTAGCGCGGTTCTCCAGTGCTGGAAAAACAGGAACAGAAAGTAAAAGCTGCTTATTTCCTCTAGCAAATGATCTTAAATTTGGCTAGAATACTGGTTAATTCAGCTTAGATTCATTCAGTCTCAAAAGGAGAGTACCATCTATAGAATTTACTATTAGAAAAATGTATTTTTCATCTAACTAAATTTTACTGTTTTGCCTTTTTTGAAATCTGTTGTTGAGGATTATCATTATAATTTAGAAAATATGACAGAAGAAAAGTGAGAGCAGGCATTTGATTATTGGGATTGAGTTTTATGAGATGTCTTGGGTTTGTGTCTTTAGCCACTTCTTAAGTGGCTAAAGACATTTAGTTAGAGTAAGCTTGTGAAACACTTGAACATCTTCACTGAAAGCAGAACAAGTGTTAGTTTTCAGAATCTGACTTAGTGGACTACCCACTGTTTGTTATTAATATTAGGTGTGAGAGTACTTACTCCCTAGTAGCTTGACTGGTTACAAAATATACTGCAAGTGTAAGTAAAAGCAAACTACTTGTAGTGAAGAGCAGTTTTGCCCAGTTCTTTGAAGAAAGAGGAGATGATAAAGGAGAACCTGGAGACTTGTTTGTTTTATTCTACATGCCAGTAAAAGAACAGCCCTGGTATAAGTCTAGGCAATTGGGTTAGACCCAGTATAGAGTTTTTAATATTATTTTAGTTTTTGATCCCTATGTAATGATGGATAATCTCCATAATATCTTTGATCTTATAGATAAGATAAAAGGAAACACAAGTGGGAAGGAGTTGAGTAAAACTACAGGGGCATAGACTATGACTGGATTCCAAATAAGAGAAATAGACTGGATAAGGATTATACATTGCTTTGACTTTGCCAGACTTTAAGGCTAAGAGTCATTCAGAGTAAAGATTTCTAAACACATATACACATATATCACATGTGTGATGAGGGAACACACATCTCGGTAGGATATGTAGCTCCAAGATCCTTGTATTCTTCGAATACTGTGTTCCCCCTACTTCTCCCTTATATACTTTACTGATACAAATTTGGTACATTCAGAGCTGTCATGACTTTATTCAGAGATATGACTTATTTAAAAATTTTGATATCAATTCAAGAGCAGCTCTGCTTTTCTCATAGTCTCCTGACCTTAATTACCCAAACATATAGAACCAAATGCAAAAATTAAAGAAACTTAGTTATTTCTATATATTTTTAAATAAACTAAATATATTTCTCTGCTCCATTGGGTGCTGTTGCATAATTATTCTTTTAGGTGAACAGGATAAACTAGTCTGATTTATAGGAACATTTTTTTTTCTTCTTTTGGCCCCACGGCTTGTGGGATCTTAGTTCCCCAACCAGGAATTAAACTCAGGCCCTTGGCAGTGAAAGCAGGGAATCCTTACCACTGGACTGCCAGGGAATTCCCTAAAGGTTTGGGACATTTTTAAAAGCTTAATATCATTTAACCAGAAAAAGTTCTCGTTACAAGGATTGAGTACTGAGTTACCCATAGGTTTCATTGATGTGATAGTTACTTTAGAAATTGGCATGGGGGAAATAACAAAGCCTAGTAAACTTGAATTTTCAGAATCCAGACCCACAACATCTTGTAACTATAAATTTTTGGTTTGATTCTGGTAGTTCTTAAAAGGTCACATCGTAAAGAATGTATTTATATACTTATAAAAGTTTCTTTTCTGCTATTTTAGATGCTGACTAAACAGTTGGAAGCTCTTGGTTTAGCTGAAAAGCCTCAGTTGGTGACTCGCTTTCAAGAAGTTTTTCGATCAATGTGGTCTGTGAATGGTGATTCAATAAGTAAGATTTATGCAGGAACTGGAGCCCTTGAAGGAAAGGCTAAGGTAGATCTAGATTATAAAAGATCCTCTATTTTCTTCTTTAATAAAGCTTTAAATGAACTCTTTTAGTAGTTTTTTTTTTTTTTAAAGGTATCTTTTTTAGAATTCTGTTTCATCATGTTTTTATGTCCTCTTTATTACCTCCTTCCCTAATGGATACTAATGATTGAATGGATAGTTATTTCCCTAGGTTTGAGAGGTATATTTGTGTGAGATATTTAGTTGTTTAGTAATAATCTACTAGGCTTACATATGTATTACTTCCAATTTTTTTAATGATTTTTCACTTGCATATGTGTTTTAATTTTTATACTGTTTATTTTGATTAGAAATATGTTTTTTTTTAAGCCTTTGCTTTTCTTTTTTTTTTTTTTTTTTTGGTCACACAGGGCAGCATGTGGATCTTAGTTCCCTGGATCAGGGGTCAAACCCAGGCCCCTGCAGTGAAAGTGCAGAGTCCTAACCCCCAGATTGCTACGGAATTACCCAAAATATGTTGTTGCTTTTTTTTTTTTAATTAGGGCCGTCTTTGGTGGCCCATTGGTTAAGATTCCATGCTTCTAGTGCAGTGGGCGTGGATTCCATCCTTAGTTGGGGAACTGAGATCCCACAGGCTGTGCAGCACAACCATAATTAAAACAAAAGTTCCCCCTTCCCCAAATAATAGTCTTACCAGTAAAGGGTCTTACCTTATTTGCCTTTGTGTCCCCAGTACTTGCCACAGTACATACAGTTGAATAGATGTGTGACAAGAGCTGGATGGACAAATAAATCAATGGGCAGTTTTTGCAACACCACCTATGAACCCAGTGCTACTAGGGCTGAAGTTTTTATTCTTTTTCTTATATTCCTTGACAAGGAGCCTGTCAAAATGTGCCTTTGCAAGTGTGAGGTGTGGATGTAATTGTGTATCTGTATGTCATCATTATTTTTTATTTGCTGGTATTACCTACAGATTGCTTCTGCTTTAGTGTTTGTCCCTTACTGAGGGACTTTGGGTACATACTTGAAATATTTTTCATTATATCCTTAAATATTGACCTTTTATAGCTTCTGGATTCAGCTGAATTTATAAATGTACTACAACCTTACAGTTTCTCAAATTACCCCAGGAATAGAAACAGAGGCATTTACCACTTGTATAGTTTCATATTTAGTCTCTTCAGTATAGCAGCTGATTTTCATCATCTCAAAATCTTCTGTTTTCCACCTCTTCCTCTTCTTTTGTGTCTCATAAAATGCCACGCCTCTGTTCAGAAGAATTGGCCTTAGCTGCAAAGTTCCTTTTGTTCAACTCAGAAGTAATTTGTATTGACATTTACAAATATTTACTTCTTAAATGATCCCTATTTTAAAAAACCTGATGTTGTTAAACTTTCATGTATTCTTTTTTAAATAAACAACATAATTCTTGCTTTTAAACCTGATTCTCTGCAACGATTGCTTAAAGTATTATTTTATGTTCTGCCTCTTTGTTTCTGCAGTTGACTATCTATGTACAGAGGTTATATTTTCAGTGATCTTTTCTAACAAACTAGATATGAAATTTTATGTATTAAATATACTAGTCTGAATTGACCTGAGATCTAACATCTGAACTGCTCTTTCTTTTCCTTTCTCTGGGTTCCTTTTGATTAATTGCCTGATAATGTGAATGGTGAGTCTCTTTTTTTAAATAATGTCATTTACATTCATTTTATGGAAGGAAATAACATTTTTAAGCCTCAAATTCTTGTTATTTCTTTGAGGAATAAAAATTACATATTGCAAACTAAAGTTTTTTTGGACAGTTTTTAACTTTTTTTTAAGTCATCAAAATATGTAAGGTTTACGGTAACTAACACACCTGAGTGAAATATACATTCATTAGAAGTTACAATCAGCTCTCTCACTGTAGGAATTGGCATACATTTTATATTTTCATATTTGCATAGGCAAAATGAGCTAAAATAAACAACTGTAGTTTTTGTGTTATAGGCTACACCTTCATTCTCATATTCAGTTTTGTTTTTAACTAATATAAGTTACTTGGGAGCAATTTCAGTTTTATTTTTCTACTGTTAGTGTACTTTGAAGTTTTTCTGAGAACATGGAAATGCAGTGTATCCTTTATCTCCTCTGCTTTTCCCCACCCATCCCATCCATCCCCCAGCCTAACAGTTATAATGGAAGAAGTGATTTCCTTGTCTTGAATAAGAACATTTCAGTCTGTTTCCTTTCCAGTAAACAGTTATACACGTTTACTGCTCTAGATGTCATCAGTGGATGCAGTTGTGGCACTGAGCCTCTTCTATCTCTCTGCAGTGCTGTTATCCAAAAGAGGAAAGGAAACAGTGACATCTTAATGTGCCATTTTAATGTGATGGTTTGATATTCAGAATGGAATGATAAGGTCCTTCTTACTACAGTGAAGTCATATACAACTTATCTAAAGTTTCAGAATACCTACTGAGTGAAAACAATTTAGAATGAAAGTCCATGCTTTTTTCCCCAACAGGCTGGAAAGTTAAAAGATGGTGCTCGTTCAGTTAGTAGAACAATTCAGAATAACTTCTTTGACAGCTCCAAGCAAGAAGCAATTGATGTTTTGCTCCTGGGAAATACTCTAAATAGTGATTTAGCTGACAAAGCTCGAGCCCTTTTAACTACTGGAAGTTTGCGTGGTAGGCGTACTTACTTTATATTTTACTTTATGTTGTCTGTATTCCTTCTAAAAGTCCAAGAGGTGAATATAAACTTACTTACATATGTGCTTTCTAGTTTGAGTTGATAAAGATAGTTTTTTGAAGGAATTTCTATCAATGTAAATTTCTAAAATTGCATTCTCCAAAGGAAGTTTGATTCTCCTAAAATATTTATAGCATTAGCAGAACTATTAAGCTGTAAACTGAAGCCCATGCATGTTTTCTTTTATAAGTTATGATTGAGGGGGGAAATGATTTAAATATTGCTAACTTTATTTAAGGCAAGATTTCATAAAATATTCAACTAATCACCACCCCAGATGTTTCTATAACTTGTTCTTACTTTTTAATTGCTACTGTTTGAGTAAGCTTCAAATCGTATTAATAATTTTAAAATGTTGCTTATTATTGGACCCTGTCATCCCCAGTTTTAATATTTGACATAAAATATATGTCAGGCTTTCAGAATAGCTGTTGATTTTTCACTGTGTTTCTTTAAAACCAAAAGAATTTGAGCTCATGTCAGTGAGCATATTAAGCAGGATCATGAGAAAACTCAATATACATTGTATTAACTTATTAAATTAGACTCCCTTAATTTCTTTTTTTTCCCCTATTTTAGCTTTCCAGCACTTGGAACATTTTTTTTACTTCTTCTGTTATCCCCTAAAAGAACCTTTTCAGTTTTCCCTGTTCAACTAGGAGAAATTGTTCCTCAAATAACCTCCTCATGGGTTATCACTTGTTACCATGGATTTCTTTCAGAATTCTGCATGGTGCTGAAGGTAGTTAATTACAGTTAGCTCCTCAGGGATCTGTGAATAGGCTGGGGGACTGAAATCTACTAAAGCTCTGAAAACCAGAATCTGATCATAGCTACTGCTTTTGACTTCAGGCTTTCTTCCTGGCTTCCAGCAGTAGACACTGACTCATTTGCGTCTTATCACCTCTTTCCACCCGCGCCTGCTCTGATATGGAGGCATTAATCAGCAACCACTGAAAGTAAGCTGTTGAAGGAAAGAGAAGTGAGGGACCTGAATAACTCCCAGACTTGATCATTAGTTTTTTAGTTTCCTGCACATTTTACTATGTGAAAAACATACCCTTAGAAAACAGTACAATCAGTTCTGCTATAGCTCTTATTCTCAGAATGGGAATTTATTCCAACAGGGATGCTATGTCAGGAAAAATTGTGAGAATAATGCCAATTCTGTAGTAGTTTATGTTTGATTTCACTGGCAGTAGTAGTGCTAGGGAAATGCAGAAAGCTGCACTCAGCGGAACTGAGGTGGATAGCAATACGCAAAACACGCATGTACACGTGCATAGCCCTCTCCCTCCCTCCGTTCACCAGCTGTGCGGTGAGCCAGGTCCTCCCAAGGCTGATGTCACCACTTTCCAGTTTCGAAGGACCCTGCTTCAGCATTCACAATTGCTCACAAGCACAGGCCTCTTCCGGCCCATCTTTCTAAGCAAACCTCAAGTCTTTTTCAACATAAAGTACCGTATGTTAGCTGTGTTTGTCCATTCCTTAACTGTTTAACATGTATCGGGTTCTGCTACTGTTTTTATAGCAGGTTCCTATCTTGGCACATCATTGCTGAAGTGTTTGAATGTTGTGCCCAAACCCAAATATTTTTGCCATAAACCCTGTGCCTGTAGGAATTTGCACCATCTTGCATAACATGGTAATTCTGTTGGAATGTATGTGTTTTTTTTAATAACTGAACTGATTGTACCTGTCAGCTGGTGAGTCCCAGAAAGAATACTCCAAGGTGTGCGTTAGGGCAGTATCTGCAATATTCCAGTGTCTTCCAGCCTCTTAGGTTTTCGGGTTCATATTCTCCCTCAGAAGTATGTGCACTTGCACACTCAACAGACATACATATGGCACCAGCCTGGAAAGCAGGCCTAGAACCTTCTGATTGTGAAACTCTGCACATCATTATGTCCCTGTATGATTTTTCTTAGACACAGTGGGTTTACATCAGTTATTGTCATTTATTTTATCTTTGGTATCCTTCAGCCATCAGAAAAAAAATTGTCGTCAAATTAAATCAAAAGAAAAAAATGAAGCTGTTTGAGGTTTTGTCATAATACTCTAGACTCCAACTGTAACTTACTATGTTACTAATGATTCTTTGTTTTCTTCTTGATGCATCCGTAGTTTCTGAACAGACATTACAGTCAGGTACAGTATAGAAAATCAACCTGTCAATAAATGCAACTTTATCTCAATTTTTTTTAAAAAGTGGATGTTGTATATAAATAGAGCCACAAATAAATGGAAACTTTATTTTGCCCTCTGATTCTGACAGGATGAATTGATGCTTTGTTTTAATCTGAGAAAAAAATTTTAAGTTTGAGAAAACAGAGTACTTCATTTAGAAGGAGCTATGCCAAGCTCTTTGTCTTCTTGTAGTAAGTGCTTAATTTCAGTTAAATATGGGTCATCTAGTTTTAGTTTTACTTTCACATTTCAGTGAACAAACATTATTAGTATTATATTTTACCCTTTATTGTTGTTTAGTCGCTGAGTCATGTCTGACTCCTTTACGACCCCATGGACCATAGCCCACCACGTTCTTCTGTCCATGGAATTTCTCAGGCAAGAATATTGGAGTGTGTTGCCATTTCCTCCTCCAGGGGATTTCCTAGCTCAGGGGTTGAACCTGCATCTCTGCATTGTCAGGAGGATTCTTTATCACTGAGCCACCAAGGAAGTCCTGGAAAAAACCTAGATGTGACTCTTACAGATTAATGTCAAAGTACTGCTTGTGATATTTACAACTACTCAGTAGTGCTTATCTCACACACCGTTTTAAACAAGAGATTGACTCGTTTTCTCATATGGTATGTGAAATATTTTCTGAAACTGGAAGACCACTAAAATATGATCTGAAATCTTTTAAAAAGCATTAAGATTGCTAGCAAAGTTAGAAGAGCCAAGTGTGTAAGACCTAAAGGTATTATTTTTCTTGTCATTCTGATTCTTAAAACTCGCATACCTTTATTCTCTGGACAAGGTTTATGATCTTGTCTTTAAACTTGAATCTGTGGTGAAAGGAACTCTTGCCAGAAATTTGCTGAAAAGGTATCTTTTCTTCCCTTCACTTAAGATTTGGTATCACTTAAGATTTGTTTCACTTAATTATTTTTGTGAGTGTTTTAAGACACTATGGGTGAATTTTTTGAGAAGACGGAGAAAGAGAGCACTTGTATTTGTTTTTGAATTAATACCATGAAATCCATTTTCTGAAATGATACAGTATTTAGGGATGAGCATCTGTTTGAACAGAGACACATTTCTTTCTGCACATTAAGGTGCCAGCCAGTTTTTTAAGAAAAGAATAAACTAGGAATTTTAAAACTTTTTACCCCATTTATAAACTGACCTTAGTAGCTTACTCAATGTGGCGACATATTTTTCTTCACACAGCTCATTGTCTGTCTTGCTGCATATTTTAAGCTGTTAAATAATTATCGAGCTTGTGTTTTCATGTAGAAAGGATTGCAGAAGCTGTTTCCATAGTAGTAACAATGGCAGTGACTTCATTAGAAAGAGCAGTGTTGATCTGTAGTAACAGAGAAGGATTCTTTATCCAGGTTCAGCCAACTTTCAGTTAGCCATATCAACAGGCCAGAAAAACAATCTGCCTTCATTCCCACCAGACACCTCTGTGCAAGTAATCAAATAGCAGGGTTAGAAATGTGTACATGTGCCCCTAGGGACAGTGAGGATGTGCTTGTCACCTGAGTCTGCAGTTCCTCGCGGGATTCACAGGTCAGACTACTTTCATTCTAATCCAAAAATGTTATTTACCTTTTTCACTCTTTCTTTCACAAGCCTCCTTGCTGTACCTTGGTATCCATTCCAAAAATAATAGTTAATATCATAATAAAATAAGATCACCTGGTGAAAGGTGAAGATCATTTTGATTTCCGTCTCCTCTTGGCAGTTAACCACCCTTTTAAGGGCGTATTCTCTATCATTATTAATAGATTGAAGTCCTAGGAAGTTTCTATTCACTTTTAAGTGCCAGGATTTGACTCAATCTAAATGAAATGTAGTTTAGAAGGCAGAAAGTTAGGTGGAAGCCAAAAGATAGGTGAAGAAGAGAGATTGAGGATTCAAAGTGTATTTCACGTGTATTCCTTTAACCATTATTTACTGAACACTCAGTATGTACCTGGAGAAGGAAATGGCAACCCACTCCAGTACTCTTGCCTGGAGAATCCCAGGGATGGCGGAGCCTGGTGGGCTGCCGTCTATGGGGTTGCACAGAGTTGGACACGACTGAAGCGACTTAGCATTAGCAGCAGTATGTACCAGGCGCTCTTCTAGTCTGGAGATATTGGAGCAAATAAAATAGACCAAAACTGCTATATAGCACAGGGAACTCGGCTTAATGATCTGTGGTGACTCAAATGGGAAGGAAATCCAAAAAAGAGGGGATGTATGTATACATATAAGCAGTTCCCTTCCCTGGAGAGCAGAAACTGACACAACATTATAAAGCGACTACTGGGGCTTCCCGTGTGGTGCAGCAGTAAAGAATCCGCCTGCCTATGCGGGGGGCACAAGAGACGAGGGTTCCATCCCTAGGTGGGGAAGATCCCCTGGAGGAGGAAGTGGCAATGCGCTCCAGTATTCTTGCTTGGAAAATTCCATGGGCAGAGGAGCCTGGTGGGCTATAGTTGCAAAGAGTCAGACATGACCGAGCACATACACTCACACACCCCAATAAATAAATAAAATGAAAGGATGTTCATTCTGTGAGTGTTAGTCACTCAGTCATGTTCTACTCTGTGACCCCATGGACTGTAGCCCGCCAGGCTCCTCTGTCCATGGAATTCTCCAGGCAAGAATACTAGAATGTGTTGCCATTTCCTACTCCAGGGGATTTTCATGACCTTGGGATTGCACCCGGGTCTCCTGCATTGCAGGCAGATTCTTTACTGTCTGAGCCACAGAACTATCACATTATCAAGCATATCCACTTCTGGATATATATTTGCATACTGAAGTGGGTAGCCATTCCCTTTTGCAGGGGATCTTCGTGACCCAGGGATCAAACCCAGGTCTCCTGCATTGCAGGCAGATTCTTTTACCATCTGAGCTACCAGAGAACCTCCATTCATTCTGATTCCCCCCCCACAAAAAATAAAAATGGGATTGACCAACATTTCTGCCCTCATGGAGCTTCCATTTTCAGTGAGGGGTGACAGTTAACAGGACAAATAAATAAAATGCATAGTTTGTACATGGTAATAAACACCATAGAGAAAAGTAAAGCAGGGAGCTGATATGGACTGTAAGAGACAGAATGCACATTTTAATAAGCTGATCAGGAAAAGCCTCACTGCAGAGTTGATGCCTGCAGGCAGTGAGGGAAGAATGTTGCGAGCAGTGGAAGCAGCCAGTGCAGAGGGGGTCCAGGGCCAGAGCAGTGAGCGAGCAGAGCTGGGATGGCAGCTGAGGGTGGAAAGGCAGGGCAGTTTGTCTGGGGTCTTGTAGAACATTGGTGAAGACTTGGTGTCGCCTGAGAGCTGGGAGGCTTTTAGTAATGCCTTCATTCTCCAACATCTCATTATTGTCCGTGATTTGTGTTTGTCAGGGAGCTGTTTTTCCTCAAGCTCCCTGTCAGTAGCTAGAGTCCTATATGTCATGGTTCTTGAACATCTTTGTTTGGGGAGAGATAACTTATTTTTACTAGCTTTTGAATGAAAATTGTCTGGAAGTCAGTTGCTATATTTATTCCTTAAAATTTGCAATCTCTGATTTTGTGTATCATAAAATGATATACTATTTCACTGAAACAGAACTGTTTTGCATGTTTTATGTTGCTGCATTAACTTTGTAATAGTTTTTTTTTTTAATTGGGCTGTTGTACTTCACGTAGTTGATATTTTAAAAGTGTGTTGGTTACTTGCATTGTGTTGGGCTCTGTGTTCAAGGCTTATCTCTCTTATGCCTGTGCATGTATTTGATGCTTGTTTGTGCTGATGATGGTAATTGTACTTTCCAGCCATCATTTCTCAGTTATGAAGATCAATTTTTGTAAGTGTTTTCATGCAGCCAAAATTTTGTTGTATTTTGTTTTTGATCAGCATCTTCTAAAGTCCTAAAGAGCATGTGCGAGAATTTCTACAAGTATTCAAAGCCCAAGAAAATTCGAGTATGTGTGGGCACCTGGAACGTGAATGGCGGAAAGCAGTTTCGCAGCATAGCTTTTAAGAATCAGACCCTTACGGACTGGCTTCTTGATGCCCCCAAGTTAGCTGGCATCCAGGAGTTTCAAGGTTGGCTTCTTACAATATGGATTTATTAACCCTGACTGTGATGTATTAACCTAGAAGACAAATGCGACACTTCACAATATGCATTACTTTATAAAAGAAACTTCTATATATACATTTGAAGACCAACATTCTTCTTAGAGATCAAAACTCTTCAAGTCTTAGGTCTTTTGTATTCATAGACTTTTCTCTACTACTTCATAGGAACCCATGGCAAAGTGAGAAATCTTTTTCTTTGTTATTTGATTCTTGGAAAATGTAGTCCATACATGAATAGATAACTCTTTTGTGTGTGGGTTTGTGTATTTATTTTTTTAAGATGTGATTTTTTTCTCCTGTTTTTATTCTTTAAACTGATGCATAGCAAATTTATTTTGTGATTGAGGATTTTTCAAACCTAATGTATTTCATTTTTCAAATATAGTCCTTTATATGCTAAGATAAGAAATAGGGTAGGTCATGAGTAAGTTTATAAAACTCATTTTGACATTTATTGTCCCTTTATACAGAACAGTACTGATTGATCCTTGTAAAAACTCATCACTGAGTTTGGGTACTCTACCACCAAGCTCTTACTAGCCAGTACCAAACATTAAGCTGAGGATGTTTGTATTAAAATTTTGAACTAGAATCATGGATTTGAGGACTCTTTGCTTAAGTCAACTTGAATTCCTTTTTAAAATGGTACACATTTACCAAATGGTATTTATGAAGGGGATATGTATAGGAAATACTGTGAGATATAGATTTTTCTTTTTTAGTTGCCTTTAATCAGTCACACCTTAAACCCTGGGAATTTCCCTAAACTTTTACTAAAATGCCACTTTTCATTTACATTGAACCTAACTTGAAATCGTAGCTGTAGTATTAATAGTAATAACAATAATAACAGCTAACACTACTATTATGAGTACTTGACATCTATTCATTTAATCATTATAACAGACTTAATACATAGTCACTGTTAGTATTTCAGTTTCCCAGATGAGGAAACTGAGACACAGGAAGAGAAGTGACCTGCCCAACGTGATGCAGTTAGCAGTGACAGAGCCAGGATTTGAACTCAGGCAGTTTGGTTCTGGAGTTGTGCCGCACTGCATTTTTTGTGTGAACTTAGGCAAGTTGCTTAGGTTCTCCAGAGCCTCAGTTTCCTGTCTGTAAATAACAGGCAGATGTAATCTGTCTCATAAGGTGTCTGTAGTAAAAGAGAAGATTCACATGTAAGCCTTGCACATAATAGCAGTCAGTAAACACTTTTAAATTTTTATTCCTCAGTATTTATTCATGGTATTTATAAGCTCTTTCTCTAGCTGTTTGTCCCATTTCTGAATGCTTGGGCCACCCAGGCTACCCTGGGCTTGCTTATCTAAAGCAACTCTGTTCTCTTTTGGTCAGCAATGGGAGAGCTAATGGCTAGAAGAGAGGGATTGGTCTGAAGCCCTGACTTCCCATTTTCCTAGATTGTTTCCACCTAGGAATTTCCAAATTAAAGTGTAAAATTCCCTCTCAACTGTTTTCTCTTAATTTGAGTTGGTTACTCACCCGCCTTATTGTTTGTGCTCTTTCTGAAAAATTCCTTGGCGGCTAAAGAAGAAGGGGATTTATGTGTACTTAGGGCTGATTCGCGTTGTTGTACAGCAGAAACCAATACAACATTGTAAAGCAGTTATCCTCCATTTAAAAATAAATAATAAAAAAATGTTTTTAGTTAATTACCTATCCATTTGGATTCATCTTTTAGCCTTTGAGAAGCGGCGTGTTTCTCTACTGTCCGTGGTTCAAACTTTAGCAAGAGTTCTTTCAAAAATGATTTCTGAAAGGACTTAAGAATCTTCAAGAATAGTCTTCAAGAAAAGCAAACTTAGGTCACCTATATAGAAATTGAAAGTAATTTTGTCCCCCTCATGGTTTTTTGCCTTTAATTTGCTTTTGGTTAAACTTGAAACACAAAAATGGACTTGTATGAGATCTGATGTTCATCTTAGTTTTGTTGGGGTAGGGAAGTTGCCATTTTTTAAAAGCCTTTCATGGATGCTTAATTTTAGATAAAAGAAGTAAACCAATGGATATATTTGCAATTGGTTTTGAGGAAATGGTAGAGTTGAATGCTGGAAACATTGTGAATGCAAGGTAAGCCAGCCAGGTAACACACAGGGAAACTTTCTAGTTGATGAACATGGGGGGCAGGTAACTAAGTACTTATTACAAGGATAGATAAAAGATGATATATGTGAAGATGCTTTTTAAACTGTAGTTCAAATAGTAGTTCTCAAACTTTTTGGTTTCAGGTCTTTCTACACTCTTAAAAATGTTGAAAATCTTAAAGAACTTTTATTTGTGTGGTTTTATCTCTTGATACGTATCACATTAGAAATTAGAGACAAAAATTTTTAAACATTCAGTTCATTTAAAAATAACAATAATAAAGTCATTACATGTTAACAAAAGTAACACATTTTTTTTTTCTGAAAAGTAACTATTTTCCAAAACAAAAATTTACTAAGAAGGATGGCATTGATCGATAGTTTGCAAATCTATTTAGTCTGGTTTAAGATGGCTGGGTTGTCACATCTACCTCTGCATTAGTCTGTTGCAGTATGTTGTTTTGATTGAAATATATAAAGAAAATCACATAAATATGTAGTTGGAAACCAAAATATTTTAATAGCCTTTTTAGATTATTTCTTCTCTGATAATACTCAGCAAATAGTCATTTTTAACGGTTAGTTACAATGTGGAATCTGAAACCATAGTGATGAACTTTTTGTGCTCAGTTATACTAAAACATCGGTCTGTCTTTTAGCCTTGCATGATTTTGACACGTCATTCATTAGGCATTTGGAACATATTAGTTTACTGAATTATGTAGGTCTTTCACGTTTTGATATGTATCATTATACAATATTAAAACATCATATTGGTTAATTTCATCACCAAATTAATTTCATCTCTTCAGCAAATTCTTCAAGTATTGGGAAGCTGTCAAGATCACAATAGCAAATACAGGTGTATCAAAATTCCCCCTTTTTCTTCAAAATGTAAATTTTTTTATTAGAAATACACACCATGGGTCATGTCCCTTGAAAACGCAGGCATGGTTGAAAACATGTTTGCCAGATAATCTAAATCTGAATAACAATAGTGTGTCTGTCACTAGTTTTTCCAAGTAAAAATTGTATTCTATAAAAAAGTGACCTCAGCTCTGACCTCAGACTTGAGTGCTTTTTTCTGGAACAACCATCGTGTATGTGTTCATTGTGCAGCAAAAGTGGTTGGTTTGTATTTTTCCATTCATTACACAGAATACTAAAAAGATGGGCTTCTAGGATTCAGCTTTGACAAAGTTAGTAATGTTTACTGCTTCATCAGGATGTTCTTAGGTGAAATGGCTATTTGTGCTTGCTGTTGGAGGTTCTTGGGGTTTCCCTGTTGGCTCAGATGGTAAAGAATCTGCCTGCAATGCAGGAGACCCAGGTTTGATCCCTGGTTTGGGAAGATCCCTTGGAGAAAGGAATGGCAACTCATTCCAGTATTTTTGCCTGGGAATTCCCATGGACAGAGGATCCTGGAGGGCTGCAGTCCATGGAGTCACAAAGAGTGGGACGAGTCTTAGGCACAAACTTAATTACTCTGAAAATGTATAAAGAGAAAGTCAAGCATTTTTCCTACCTTCTTTGTATAAACATGTTTCATAATAACTGGATAGATGATAAAAGCTCTTTACAGAAGAATTCCAATTCATTACAAATGCCCATGGAATGCTGAAATTATGAAATCAACATGTTGTAACCTCTGTTGATGGAGAAGGAAATGGCAGCCCACTCCAGTATTCATGCCTGGAGAATCCCATGGATAGAGGAGCCTGGCAGATTATGGTCCATGGGGTAGCAAAGAGTCAGACACGATTGAAGCAACTTAGCACGCAACCCCTGTTGAAATAATGGATCTAGGCAATGATCGTCAGTTGATGTTAAAACCTTATAGAAGGATCAGTGGAGGAACTTCTTTATAAGGAGTTAATTGTCACAGTCTGAACAGCCCATTAGATGTAATATCTCAGCAATTACATGCTTCCTGCTGTGATGCAAGGCTGACTATTCCACCATGAGGTTATTTTTGCCAAAACAAATCAATAAAATTGAATCACGCTTCTGTAGTTACCAGTTTAAAACAAAGCTGACAGAAGTACAAGGTATCATGAAGACACATCAGGCAAATCCAGACTATTAAACATCTTGCAGACAAATAATCCAGCTTCTTAAAACATAAAGAGCATTAAAAAAGAGGATGAAAAAAAAAAAAAAGAGGATGGGACAAGCCGAGAGACAGTTAAAGACTGAGAAAGACCTGAGGAGGCAACCAGCACATGCAGTGTGTAGACGTTGTTTGGACCTTGTTTTACAGAAACCAGCTCTAAGAAACTTTTTTTTAGATAACAGGGAGATGTAAGTATGACCTCAGTATTTTATGATATTGAGGAAGTTTTACTGTTTAAGTGTGATAATGGCCTTTTGATTACAGAAAAATAAAAATCCTGTTGTATTAGTGATGCTTAGTAAAGCGTTTTTGGGTGAAATGGATAATTTTTTCTCAGATTTGTCATAAAATATTCCAAGATTAGAAAAAGGGGTGGGGAGTTATGAAAGAAGAAAGATTGGCAAAATGTGGATAATTGTTGAAGCTGGGTATATGGTGGTTTATTTTATGATTATCTTTTTTGTATATGTTTAAAATTTTCCATAATAAGTTTTTAAAGAGATATTATAATTCATAGAAATAAGAAAAAGGGGGAAAATGTATCTGGAAGCATGTTCTTCTCTGGTATCCTAATGAATAAATAAGGAAAAAATAAAGTGTACAAGCTTGGGATTGCTCACACAGCACTTATTTAATAAGAAAGCTCAAATTTTCTTTGTAAGGGAGTCATAGCATAGACTTTTGACGTGTGATGTTCTTTTGGCTCAGTTTTCAGTTTTCCTTTTTTAAAGGAGACAGAAACACCCAGCCTGCATAAAGATTTCACTGTTGGTGTGGATTTCGTGATGTCACTAATTGTATTAAATTTGAACATATAAAGGTATAATTGATAACTGTCATACAGAAATCGGCTGTATTACTGTCACCGTCTTTTTGAAGATTCCCTTGTTAATTTTCTGGTAGCACAACAAATCAGAAACTCTGGGCTGTGGAACTTCAGAAGACCATCTCCAGAGACAACAAGTATGTACTGCTGGCCTCTGAGCAGTTGGTGGGCGTCTGTCTGTTTGTTTTTATCAGACCACAGCATGCTCCATTCATCAGGTGAGTAGACAGACGGCTCTCCTAAGGCTGCCTCCTAACACCAGGTAACCAAGAGGCCTGGCGTATTTGTGGCTTCCGAGAAATACTGACGCATGGTTCTTGTTTTTGAGTGTTCTTTTTTTTTTTAATTGAAGTGTAGTTGATTTATATGGACTTCCCACGTGGCTCAGTGGTAAAGAATCCACCTGCCAATGCAGGAGACACAGGAGACGGGTTCAGTCCCTGGGTCAGGAAGATCCTCTGGAGAAGGAAATGATACCCCACTCCAGTATTCTTGCTTGGGAAATTCCATGGACAGAGGAGCCTGGCGGACTACAGTCCATGGGGTCACAAAGAGTTGGACACGACTGTGCATGAACATACACGATGGGTGATGGTTGATTTAAATTGTGTTAGTTTCAAGTGTACAACAAAGTGATTCAGTTATGCATTTGTGTGTGTGTATATATATATATATACACAAACACACATATATATATTCTTTTTCAGATTCTTTTCCCTTATAGGTTATTACAAACAATTAAGTATGGTTCTCTGTGCTATATAGTAGGTCTTTGTTGGCTATCCATTTTATACGCCCTCTCACTCGCGCCTTCCCTTTGGTAACCATAAGTTTGTTTTCTATGTCTCTGGGTCTATTTCTGTTTTGTAAATAAGTTCGTCTGTATCATTAAGTAGTAGTCCATTGTATTTATGTACCACATCTTCTTTATTCATTCATCTGTGAGGGACATCTAAGTTGTTTACATGTCTTGATATTGTGAATGGTGCTGCAGTGAACATTAGGGTGCATGTGTTTTTTTCAAATTATAGTTTTCTCCGGCCATATCCCCAGGAGTGGGTGGAATCCCTGGATCACATGGTAACTTTTGTTTAAATATGTTCTTGATTAAAGAATTGCTAATAGTTTCTCTGCACTATTTCACAGGCTTCCCTACAAAGTGCCCATGATGTATAGTGTTGTAATTGTGTAATAGACATTCCTTATTTCTTACGCACGAAGAACTATTGAAATTTCTGTTCTTTGATTTCGAATTCTTCCTTTTAAAGGGATGTTGCGGTTGATACTGTGAAAACTGGAATGGGAGGCGCAACTGGAAATAAGGGAGCAGTTGCAATACGAATGCTGTTCCACACCACAAGCCTCTGCTTTGTCTGCAGCCACTTCGCTGCAGGACAGTCCCAAGTCAAAGAACGAAATGACGATTTTGTAGAAATAGCTCGGAAGTTGAGTTTTCCAATGGTAAACTCTTGCTGCTTGCTTTCAAAAAGGAAGCTTTGTAACGCATTTCAGTTCACCCCATATTCTATATCAGTTTTTGAAAAGTTAGAGTAACTCCTAGAAATGTCAGCAAATATATAACTCCTTGTGTTATTACTGTGGGGTTAAATAAATCAAACCTGGCAGGGGTAAGGCAAAGAAAAAGTTGTAAAACATTTTGTGAATTGATTGTTTGGAATTCTGTCTCTCTGCTTCCAGGGAAGGCTGCTCTTCTCCCATGACTATGTGTTTTGGTGTGGTGATTTCAACTACCGAATCGATCTCCCTAATGAGGAAGTGAAAGAGCTTATCAGACAGCAAAACTGGGATTCTCTTATTGCAGGAGATCAGCTTATCAATCAGAAAAACGCTGGACAGGTATATACATACCTAAGATAACTTGCATTGGGAAGAAGGGGATCTTTGATTATGAAAACATGCTTTCCCTAAAGTTTTTGTTTTCTTTTTTTTTAACAACCTCTTGGAGTCTATACTTAATAAGTATGTGCTAAGTCACTTCAGTCATGTGACCGTCTTTGTGATGCTATGGGCTGTTGCCAACCAGGCTCCTCTGTCCGTGGGATTCTCCAGGCAAGAATGCTCGAGTGGGTTGCCATGCCCTCCTGGGGATTTTCCAGACCCAGAAATCAAACCTGGGTCTGTTGTGTCTCCTGCATTGGCTGATGGATTCTCTACACTAGCACCACCCAGGAAGCCTTTATTAAATATATATATCTATAGTTAAACAGATAGAAAATTGCCTTCTCTTTTTAAAAAAAGGAAAAAGAAAGGAAAATTTATGATAATTTCCAGGAGGAAAAGTATATCATATCTCTATAAAATTCACTTTCAAGTAGAAGAATATACTTTTTTCTTTCAGTAGTAGCAAATTTAAGATCTTACTCATCAAGGCTGTTTGGCCCTTAAGATCTTATGGTAATCTACTTTCATTTTTTGTTATTTATTTATGGTCATGCCGTGTGACATGTGGGATCTTAGTTCCCTGACCAGGGATCGAACCTGCACCTTGCCCTGCATTGGAAATGCACGCTCTTAACCACTGGACTGCCAGAGAAGTTACTGGAAGAATTTATTTTAAAACAATTTTTAGGAAGAGGTGATTGAGGCCACTTGCTATGGTACCTTTCTGGTCATCAGACTTAAATTCTGATAGATACCATGTAACCTTCTTAGGCTCCAGTTCCTCTTGAGAATAAGACATTACACAATGTGATTTCCAAAATCCCATACAGTTCTAAATGTTTGATTGCTCAAAAGTCTGGTGGAATTTCATCGTTCAAGTTTTTGTACTTTGTTTACTCAGACGTCAAGTGAGTGAGATGATAAAACCCGCATCCTAGGTTATTTTGTCTTAAGCCCTCTTCCATTCAGTTAGAAGTGTTCTTCAGAGGCACATAGATTTCATGAGTCTCCAGCTCATAATAGACATTTAGTACATGACTGCCTGCATGAAAACAGAATGTTTTTGCCTTTTTGAAATAACTTCCTTTATGTATGTTTATTATAGATTTTTAGAGGATTTTTAGAAGGAAAAGTGACCTTTGCTCCAACGTATAAATATGACTTGTTTTCTGATGACTACGATACTAGTGAAAAGTGCCGCACCCCTGCATGGACAGACCGTGTCCTCTGGAGAAGACGGAAGTGGCCTTTTGATAGATCAGGTGGACTTCTTCATTTAAATAAGTCAGTGCAGATTTTACAAGGAAGAGGGGAATGATATAAATATCAGATAAGGCCAAGAGGACTACATTTTTTTCTCAGCCCAGGTTATCTAGAATAAAATAAATACAATTTAACTATAAAACTTGAGACCTCTCAGGCTGCTCACACTGAGAGCTTTGATTCCTCAGTGTGCTTCCCGTCAGTGAAGCAGTCACACAGAGACCAGCAGGGAAACCGTCGGTGCACTTAGAGCCGAGTGCTAAGCGAGGTTTCTAGCTGGAATAGCTCAAGCGGTTTTGCAAGTATTTTGAACTGCTACTTGTCTGTTCAATTATCTGTAAAAGTCTGGTCATGAAGTCTCAGAAGTAAAGGCTCATCTTAGTTTTAACTAAGTAAAGTGTAATATGATGACCTCACCAAAAAACCCTGACTTAACCGAGCCTAGACTTCATGCCCATTAGCAAGTGTGTCTGGTATCCCAGCCTCAGGCAACTGAAGTTAGTGAAATGAAGGAGCTCCATGTGGTCTGTCATGCTCAGGTGACTTCTCCTGTTTTATTTTGACTGCAGCTGAAGATTTAGATCTCCTAAATGCTAGTTTTCAAGATGAAAGCAAAATCCTCTACACGTGGACTCCTGGCACTTTGCTGCACTACGGAAGGGCCGAGCTAAAGACTTCTGACCATAGGTTTAAGCAATCTCCATATTTCTAATCATGCTTGAAATATATTTGAAATACATCATTTCTGTAAAGTTCCTGACATGTCTCCCTTCCTTTATGCTGAAGGCCTGTCGTTGCCCTGATCGATATTGATATATTTGAAGTTGAAGCTGAAGAGAGGCAAAACATTTATAAGGAAGTAATCGCAGTTCAGGGTCCACCGGATGGCACGGTGCTGGTCTCAATCAGGAGCTCTTTACCGGAAAATAATTTTTTCAACGATGCTTTGATTGATGAGCTTTTACAGCAGTTTACAAATTTTGGTGAAGTTATACTCATAAGGTGAGTAATGTAAAAAAAAAAAAAGCAACTCATGATTCGCAAATAATGTCTTCTGTAATAAAAATTGCCTTACTTAGTATTTGACTAGTATGTGAGTATTTGTGGAAATTCCCTGGTAGCTCAGTCAGTAAAGAATCTGCTTGCAGTGCCAGAGACCTGGCTTCAATCCCTCGGTTGGGAATATCCCCTGGACAAGGAAATGGCAGCCCATGGACTTAACCATCTGCCTTTTGCAGAACCAGATGCCTCTTGCATTGTTGGAAAAAAATGTTCTCTTCCCAGTGTACAGCAATTTGGACAAACTGAATAACGTGTGTTTGAATTTATAGGGAAGAGGTACTGTTAAATTCCTTTCTGTGCTGTTTCATGTGTTTATTGAGGGATGTTGTATAGCTGTTTAGTGGGCAAATCTCTATACTGGGTGCTCTGGCAGACTCAGTTCCTATTCGGAATCTAAGAAAGATAGGCGTGTGTGTAATGGCTTCCTTAGGTGTTTACCAGAATGGCCCACAGAATGAAGACGGCTTAGTTTCTTGCAGGGTGAGAAGCTTGCCTGAGAAGCCTCCTCTCCTTTCTGAGAGTAAATGGGCAAATAGAGAAGAAATTATATTTAGACTTACCTCAAATTGTTTGACAAAGATATACCCCACAGGTTTAAAATGAAACAAAAAATGTCTAGAGATCTTAAGACTCCAGGAAGTCATGGTGAAATTTCCCAATGACAGTAAGCGTTGCCAAGTACAGAAATGCCAAACTACTGGGAGCATCACGTGGACTGAGTGGGCAGCACAGAAGCAGATAAATGTCTTTCTGAGCAAGTGTAAACTCTTGCTCAGAGTTTACAGTACTTTTTCCAATGATAACAAGCATTTTAAGGAAAGCTTTTGGTTGCAGTTTAACACCGTCAGGGGAGTGGGTAATTTTCCTCGGTTCTGTCTCGTCACAACAAAAATTTGACGCGACGGACATTAAAGCCCTTGGAGTATCACAGATCTTGGATGGTGTTACAGCTCCCTCAGTTTTATTTAGAAAATAAAGGAAGATACATCCTCGAGGCATGAGGGCATGCCGACCCAAAAGATGGGACGAGAAAAGAGAGAGTGAGTGCTCTCTGGGTGAGAGAGAGCCCAGAGTGTCCATAGGGATGAATGCCTGATTCAGGGCAAGGACCTTGCTGCCTTTTTTCTAGTCTCTAAAGAGTTTGGCATTACTCAGTAGTTAGAATAGGAAAAAGGAGTCCAGAATGGTGGTGGCTAAAAGGCAAGGGAAAAGCCCTCGAAAATAGGACAGAGGAAGGTCCGAGGACCGGAGTGAGGACCCCAGGTAGAACAAACAGCCCTCCTGGCTAGCCCCGTTTACATAGGGCAGGCCCAGGGGGAGGAAAAAAACATATAAAAAGAGGAGCCAAAGGGCTAGGCATCTCTCTCTCTCCTGCTCATGCACGCTCGTTCTCTGTTTCTTGCACTCGCTCGCTGTCTCTCTCTTCTCCCCATGTTTTGGGTCGGCATGCCCTCATGTCTCGAGGATGTATCTTCCTTTATTTTCTAAAGAAAACTGAGGGAGCTGTAACACTGTTCGAGAGCTGTGATGTGCCAAGGGCTTTAACATCCGTTGCCTCAAATTTTTGTTGTGACGAGACAGAACCGAGGAAAATTACCCACTCCCCTGATAGTGTTAAATTGCAACCAAAAGCTTTCCCCAAAATGCTTGTTATCATTGGAAGAAGTATTGGTAACAGAACTAGTACTGGTAACAAAAAAAGGATAATGTTATCCTGACATTATAAAAGCATGTGATACCTCCTCACCTAGAATATTCTGATCGTTCCACCTTAAGACCACCGAGGTAGAACAGACAGGGGAGATGCTGAAAGTAAAGGAGGACAGGACTACTGTCCCATCACCTGTCTGCTAAACTGGTCATCACCTTCGGCTCCAGAGTAAGCCAACCATTAGGGAAGGACTGAAGTCATCATATGTAAATTATATGTAAATCTCTTATTTAGATGGAAATGTAGATGGAGCAGTCTACTTATATTAATTGGGGGGAAAGTCTAGAATGCTTCTCTCCTATTGAGTAAAAATAGGAAGAAAGTACAAAGCACATTTGGAGTCCCACAGGCCCATACATGCTGACAGACAGTTTTAGTAACACTGTATTGGGTTGGCCAAAAAGGTCATTTGGATTTTTCCATACCTTCCCCTAGCAAACTTTGTGGCCAACCCAGTATCTAAAGGAATTTGAATTTGAATGCTTTTAGGGAAAGAGTGCCCTCTCCAGGTCACCGCTGGCCCTGCCACTCTCAGGCTTGTATTTTTGCTTCCTGGTGTCTGTAAGTCCTTGCTGATCAGTAATCATTGGACAAGTCGTTGGGCTGGTTACATCTGAGGTACTCATTACATCTTTTTATTGTTTGTTTTTCTCTTCCTTAAAGATTTGTGGAAGATAAAATGTGGGTTACGTTTTTGGAGGGAAGCTCTGCCTTGAGTGTTCTGAACCTGAGTGGGAAAGAGGTAAAGTAGCATTTGTTGAATCTAAACCATTCAGTGATTTAGTGTCTGAGGACTGTGTTTTTAAGGTACATGCAGCAATTATCTAAATGTGTTTCGAATATCTAGTTGCATGATGCCTCAGATTACCTAACATCCAACATCCTAATTATTTTTTAACTTTGACAGTCTGAGAAACTAGAAGTAGTATGTCACTTCTGTGTTAAGATTTCAATGGAGAGTTTTTCGATTAACTGGTCATTTTGTACTTCTCTGGCGAGCTGTTTATGACCTTCTCTGGCAAGCTGTTTATGACCTTAGCCTGTGTTCCCCCCCGGGGTATTCATCTTTTGAAGCTCCCTTGATGTTAATTCCTTTTCATAATGTGCTGTACATGTTCTTCCCAGTTCATCTTGTGACTTTGCTGTGGTTTCACCATATAGAAATTACTGATTTTTAAATTTAATTCTGCCTTTATTATCTTAAGCCTTTCCTCCGCCCATGGTGTCGTTAATATTTAAGAGCAGCTCTCAACTGGCATTCCTTGTCTGTTCTTACTCCTTTTTTGAATATTTCTTCTGCCTTTCCCCTGGTCATTTTCCTTGTTTAGTTTTTTTCTCCCTTCTTTTTCAGCTCTGTCCCTCACCCTAAAGTCTGTGTTACACTTTTAGAAAGTATCCACCCTTAGCTCCTTTAAAAGGTTTTCAAAATTCTGAAAGAATGATGTTTCTAGAGAACATTTTGAAAGTCAGACATTTCCAAACCTCTCCTCTGTCTTTCTTACTACAGTTGTTTCAGCCCAGATCTTCTAGATACAAGTAGATCAATAGGAACTCTTCCATTTCAAGGGAGAATCTGGAAAAAGTACACAGTGTAAGCAGGGCAAACCTAAAGGATAATCTTCTTGAGCATTTTTTTTCCAGCATCTAAATTTCTTCCTTTTCATTTGGTTCTGATCTCTGCCAAGTGAATATTCTTGATGAAGTGCATCTTAAGTGGCCATTATAGTGATTGAGGCTTCAGAAGACTTGTTAGTATTCTTTGGTGAATGCATAACAAAGGTTGTTGACTTAAAAAAATAAATGGTCCATGAAACCTATTGCCTAGTTCTGACTTCAAACTTCCAGCATGGATGCTAAATTCCTATTAAACAGGACTGTGCTGTTCAGGCCAGCAGCTGTCAGCCTTTCCAGAGTGTGCCATCAAAGAATTCTGATGTCAGTAGCATTTAAGGAAAGTATTTTTTAATATGACAGGACAGTGTAACTTGATTACAATACATTGATTGTTTTAGACTATACTTTTGTCTAAAAGCTTCTCAACTTTTTAGAAACGTCCGTGTGCCAGTTTCACAGATACCAGTCTTTCTGTTTTCTGAATGGTTAACTTTTGTTAAAGATTTAAAATGATGTTAAATTTTCTTTAGTATACTTGTGACATTTGAAATGCTGAAAAGTCTAAATGAACAGGAAAGTATTTTAAGAATTTTCTACTATCCTTTCTTTGATTGTCTCATGTGGAAACAATTAATCTGTGGATCAAAAGGAAGTATAAATTTATGTAGCAGAGTTATCAGTGAATTTAGATCTGGCCCGGGAAAGATATTTACTGCAGCAAAGAAAACTTAAATTTGTGTGCATCCTAGAAAAGAAGACCTGAGGTTAGCAGCAATAGGCTGTTCTGTTTTGGCCACACTGTGTGGCTTGTCAGATCTGAGTTCTGAGCTCAAGGATTAAACCTGGACCATGGCAGTGATGGCATCACCGACTCAAGGGTCATGGGTTTGAGCAGACTCTGAGAGCTGGTGCGAGACAGAGGAGCCTGGCATGCTGCAGTCCATGGGGTCACAAAGAGCGGCCCATGACTTGGCAACTGAGCAACAGCAGTGACAGTGAAAGCCTGGAGTCCTAACCACTAGGCTCCAGGAAACTCCCTAACATAAGTTTTTAAAGGGAGGACTGGGGACGTTTGAAACTAGGTGACAGTACAGTATGTGTGAAATGATTTGTGTTGAATAAATCTAGCTGCGTGAAGCCTAAACTATTGTTATAACTTAAACAGACACTTTATTCCAAGATACTTACTTTTCATGCCAATGAATTTTTAATTTTGTATCTCTTTTACTCAACCAGTTATTGGGTAGGACTATAACAATTACTTTAAAAAGTCCAGACTGGATCAAAACTTTGGAAGAAGAAATGAGCTTAGAGAAAATCAACGTCCCCTTGCCATCATCAACCAGCTCAACCCTCCTAGGTGAAGACGCAGAGGTCACTGCCGACTTCGATATGGAAGGTCTGCTCGTGGAACACATTGACTTCTATCCTTCTAGACAGGTTTCCTTCTCATTAGCAAAGTCTCAGTCTCCAAATTTATCCTTCTCTTTGTTCTTGTAACACTCAGAGAAGTATTAATCAGATTTGGTTTACATCATATTGTGTGTTTTTTGCTTGTTCCTCAGACTTCAGATGTATGTGCCCTTCTGCCATACAAAGGTCAAGACCTTTACAATAGTTAATGTCCTTGTGTGATATAAGCACAAAGTGGCATTTTTGGTGTTTGGTTTGGTTCCACTGATTGTAGTTAAGGTAGGAGCTCTGTGAAGAAATGAGTTCAAAATATTTACAACCAAAGAGGATATATTTCAGAGTCATTTTAAAAAATTCTTAAAGTGGCTGGGAACACATTTGAAACTGAACCCACTCATGTAGATGTAATCATCTCAAGTTTAAGAGTTGGGCCAGGTTATCTTAATATAATTTCCTTAAATGTGATTAAGAAATGTATTTGCTTTTTAATGCTGTATCTGCTATATTATTTTAACATATTTCCCACTATAATGCATACCTTAGTTTATAAAGGGGCAATATATCATATTGTGATATCCTGTACCTCTAGGTAACACATTTAAGAGTTGAACACTTTAGAAGATCAGCTTGTTTTCACATTTCTGTGTTCATTTGTTTGCTTAGTCCACACGTTTATGCAGTACCTTTTATGTGCCAGTTACATGCTAAGTGCTGGAAATTCAACAGATGGCATCCTTGCCATCCCTGAAGTCACAGCTCAGTGGGTGTTACATACAAGTAAGCAGACAGTGACATCCACACACTCATGAACGGTGCTGCTGTAGTTCTTGGGACAGTCGCCTGACTTAGAGTTGGACAGTTAGGAGAATGTACCCAGAGAAACTGAAATTGGGAATCTGAAGACTGAGTGAGAATCAGATTAAAGAGGATAGAGAGACATGAACCAGGAAGAAGGAATGTGTGGAGACCTAAGGGGTACAAAAGGATCTAAGTAGGTGATGTAGATGTGCTTGTGCAGAAGGAAGGGAAGAAAGAGCAGGAAGAGGAGTGAGTGTGGATGGAAGGTGAATTTGTTTTCTGTTTTGTTTGAAGTATTTATTTGGCTGCACTGGGTCTTTGTTGCAGCACGTGGGATCTTAAGCATGCACTCTTAGTTGTGACATGTGGGATCTGGTTCCCTGACCAGGGATTGAACCTGGGCCCCTTGCATTGGGAGCATGGGATCTTAGCCACTGGACCAGCAGGGAATCCTAAATTTGGTTTTGAATGTGTTGAAGTTGAGGCATCTTTGGGGTGCATCGGGTCCAGAAGTAGGCTTTGGGCATGTGGGCCTGGCACTCAGCAGAGAACCCAGAGCTTTGATGTTAGGCAAGGCCCTGCGTTTGGATTTGCTGGGCCAGAAGCCTGATACAGAGATGGGAGAAGACTTCCTGGGATGGAACCAAAATTCAGACTTTGAAGGACAGGCAGAAGAAGGCTGCCCATAAAAGGAAAAGCAGAAGAAATGATTAGAAATGTCAGAGCCAGGAGAATATAGCACTAAAAGACCAAGTGAAGAAAAGATGGCAAGGAAGAGTGATCTATAGCATCCTCTGTCGCAGGGCAAGAAGAAGTGAGCGCCACAGCTTGCCCTTTGGGCTTGGAACCAGGGGAGGAAGCTGTTGGTGACATTCGGAGAGTTATTTCAGTGGAGTGAAGAAGCCAGACGGTGGTAAATCGGGGTGTGGATGGAAGATGAGGAAATGCAGAAAGTGTCTGTAGACAACTCTCAACAGAAGTGTGCCTGAGGCGGGAGAGAGATGCAGGCAGTTGCTCTCTGAAGTGTTGCTTTGAAGTGCAGACGCTTGAGGAGCTTAATGCTGATGGAAAGGACTGATCTGCTGGGGAGGGGCAGGGCAGGCGCGGGTGGGCAAAGCCCCACCCTTCCCACCCCTAGATAGGGTTAGGTTACAGCTGGGGGGCCGGCTGTTGAAGAGAGGGCTTCCCAGTCTTAGGACTTCCCTCTTCTCTGTGAAGTCTAAGGAGGCGGGGCAGCACACAGTTTCAGGAGGCTTGAGAAGGTTCAAGATAAAGCTCCTGCAAAGCAGTCAGATGGGGAGCCAGCCAGGAAACTGTGGGTTGGCCAGGAGGCCATGGGAGCCCAGACAAGGCTGAAACCACAGAGTTAACACGGCTGTGGTCCTCAGGACCACGCGGTTGTCTGTCTGCAGCACCCAGCAGCCCGTCTGCGGTCGTGGAGAGATGAGACTGCAGAGTTGACACAGGGGTGACAGAAGACTAGTGCAGGAGGGGAGCATCCCAGAGGCTGTGAGCACAGCTGCAGGGACAGCTGCAGAATCCAGTAGGGGCCCAAGGAAGAGGGGCCAAGGCCTGGGTCCCAGTGGAGTCACAAGAGGGGATAGAGTAGCCAGGGGCAGGACTGAGGGAAGTGTTTGAGCTTATTGTTTCAGAGGCACTGCGGTTCGAGGGGCACACGGGTGTGGAGTAGAGGAGCGTGTCAGCAGGGCAAAGCGGCAGGTTGTTGGTTTGCTATCCACCGCAGCTTCAGTGTCAGCCACAAAGATGGTGGGCCCAGCTTACCATCTTGCTCTCTCCTTGATCCTCGACGAATGGGTTCAAGTGACGAAAAGGTGGGAGGTGGGAGATTATGGCGGCAAACGGGGGTTGAGGGCATTACATAAATTCTGGACAGCACAGCCTCCAAGAAATAAAGAGGCCTTTTTGCTTAGGGTTGGAAGATTAAAATTTTGGAATTGGATTCAGGTGGCATGGGACTCCCTGACGCCACTTCCCAACCCTGTGGAAAACAGAGGTGAGGAGACCTCAGGGGAGAACCAACTCCCGCCTGTTTAATTAAAGCAGAGAGGGTTGCGTGTCAGGTGGGTGCGCCCAGGGCACCAAGTAGTGAGGAGACTTCCGGGGGAAGGGTGTGTGACTGTGTCTGCCGTGAGGGCCTGACCTGAGTTGAGGGCACTGCAGAGGGGCAGTTCCATAGACCTGAAAGGCAGGTTTGGAGGGAGGACAGCGAGTGTCCGACTCATCCAGCACTGAGAGTGCTGCTCAGCGCGTGTTGAAAGCTGTGGAGTCAACCCAGCTCCAGAGGTTAGCCACCCCTGGGCCTCCTGTTGCTCTGAGACAAGAGACTTTTTTAAAAAAATTATTATTATTAAATGTGTTTATTTTTAATTGAAAGATAATTGCTTTATAGTATTGTGCTGGTTTCTGCCAATATTGGCATTAATCAGCCATAGGTATTACTATGTCCGCTGTGACTGTCTTTTTTTAAGTAATTTAATTAATTAATGGCTGTGCTGGGTCTTGGTTGCTGCAGACAGGCTTTCTCTAGCTGTGGTGAGCAGGGGCTACTCTCAGTGTGGTACACAGGCTTCAGTATTTGTGGCATGTGGGATCTTCCCAGACCAGGGATTGAACCCATGTCCATCTGCATTGGCAGACAGATTCTTCACCACTGGACCACCCGGGAAGCCCAGGGGACTATCTTTAATTACGTTTTCTGTAAGAGCATTTGCACTAATTCTAGTTGTATGCATATAAAACTCTTTATATATGCCCACATGCTTAACTTGTACATGTTTGCAGTATCATCATGTTAAGGTGTTTATTTTATGTATTTAACCCCTTAAGCCTAGACTGGGGGGGAACAAATCTCTGAGAAAGTTAACGTGTTGGTAAGGTGGCTGACCTTGCGTTTTCTCAGGTGATGTGGATGACTATAGTGCTGAGGTAGAGGAGATCCTTCCTCAGCATCTCCAGCCATCTTCCAGTTCTGGCCTTGGCACGTCCCCCGGTTCTTCACCCCGGACCAGTCCCTGCCAGTCACCTACCATATCAGAGGGACCCGTGCCTTCCCTCCCAGTAAGACCAAGTCGAGCTCCGTCCAGAACACCCGGGCCCCCTGCTTCACAAAGTATGTGTTTTATTTCAAGTTTTGTATGACTTCCTGGGCTGATATGTTTGATTTTAGATGATTAAACCTCCGATGCCTTCGTATCTCCTTTGGAGAGCTGTTTTTGCTTAACTTTCACATCCATAGGCTAAAGTGTAGCATGTTTTCTGTGCTTACAAAAGAGGAAACCTTGTAGATGGTTCCGCCCTAAGTGAAGAGGAAGCTGGTTGCTATCACTAGATCAGAACGGTACTTCATCCTTTCTCTGTGTGGCAGGTTTGTCCATGGCTTATCACTGAACAGTTTTTAAGCATTATGGTCAGAACCCATGACTCTTTGGGCTTAACTATCCATACATTACCTGCATTCTAATAGGAAGCAGAAAGAGACAAAACAAGTATTTTGAATTCAGTTTGATAGTCATGACTCCTCCAAAGTCAGAAGGTTTTTCTCTGGAAGTTGTTACATCACACAGTTCAGTTCCACACTAACCAGTATCCTTGAAAAACACCTTTCATTTCAGCAGTTTCTCAAGCTCCCCCATGCTACTCTTAGAGGACTGTTGTTAAATAGTCGCTGAGTTGTATCTGACTCTTTTGCAACCCCATGGATTGTAGCCTGCCAGGCTCCTCTGTCCATGGGATTTCCCAAGCAAGAATATGGGAGTGGGTTGCCATTACCTTCTCCAGGAGATCTTCCCGACTCAGGGATCAAACTCGCATCTCCTGCATTGGCGGGCAGATTCTTTATCACTGAGCCACGAGGGAAGGCCTCAGAGCTTCCTTCAGTAAATCCAGGATAAGTCAGGGCATAGAGAGGAGGCTGTCTTTGCTTTTTCTTCTCTCTCCTGGCCAGCAGATTGTATTGCAAATGACCTAACACACGATACTTCATGCCATCTTGTTAGGGCCACTCAGTAAATCCCCTTTCAGTACCCGGGGCCTGGGTAAGAAGTCCAGAGAGTAACCTGACTGCTCCCGTAGTACCAGAGGGTAAGGTAATAGCACAGCTGCTTGTGTTACTGATACTACAAATGTGTGTCATCCCTCTGTAGTACAGATTTAGAAGGTTAGCAAAATAATTTATCATACGCTTCTAGAAAGTACCTGTGTGCTCACCCCTTGGAGCCTGATCCTCTTACCTAAGGCACTTTTTTCTGGTAGATTCTCCTGTAGACGCCCTGCCGGCGACACAGCTACAGCAGAAAGAGTCTTCCCAGACCCTGGAACCCAAGCGGCCTCCCCCTCCCCGCCCGGTTGCTCCTCCCGCACGTCCAGCTCCCCCACAACGACCGCCTCCGCCTTCAGGTGACAAATCCTTGTATTTCTATCTCTGCTGGATTTCACCACTCTGCTGAAAAATGTTTTGCATGTTTTTAAAACGCTTCTTTCTAGATTTTATCAGTTTTCTGTCATTGGTGCTACTTCCTTAGTTAGCTTTTCTCTAACAAATGGCGTAGGTGTGACAGAACAGCTAGATTCCTGTAACATGTTTTCCGAGCTGGCCTCTTATAAGCGCAAGGGAAACATTTGTTTTGTTTTCGCTAATTTGACGTGGTTGTACTGATTTCTGTAAAATGCATGGTTATTTAAAAATGAAAAAAAATTTTAATGCATGATTAGAACTGAGGAACATACATTTTTCTGTTTGTAGTTTTATGTATTTGTTTAAATGTTCTTTTAAAATAAGTATAGTGTTGTTTCTGTTAGAAGTATTTGTGTTACATAATAGCTTTTGTATAGCACCAAGATATGAATATGTAGTCTCTACATGATATTTGACATCTTGGAAACTATAGTAAATCTTTGACATTTCAATTCTTTATTTAATGTCATTTCCTTTCTGCTGCACATTCTCTTCTGAACTATAAGGGGCTAGGAGTCCTGCACCTGCTAGAAAAGAGTTTGGAGGTAACCATTTATATTTGTTATAATATATGGATCTTAGTTCATTAATTTTTTTGGAGTTTGAGCCCTGTAACTCAATGACATTTTAGGTTGGTTTGATGAAAGCCAAGATGAATGACATTTATAGGCCAACTTAAAAATAACTCCAAACTTCCATTATATTTCTGGTAAAAGATTAGAGCTTGATTTTATTAGTGAATATTATTAGAATTAACAAGACCTTCCATTTCCCAGATAAACAGAGTTGAATTACTTAAGGCCTGATATACTTTTTATTAATAAATATAGCCAGTTCAGTTATAAAGATTAAGTAAGTCAAACACAATGAAGAGAGGTGGTTTCCCAAGGATTTGATTATATTGGATTATATTAGAACTTTAGTACATCATCTTGCCAGTAACCTGTGAATTAGCAAAATATCCTAGGAATGCAATTTAAAGTTATCATAATTATCTGAAATATAGCTTTCATTTTGCATGGCTTTATCATAACTTGTCATAACATTCATGCCTCATTTTTAAAATAGAAGAACAAGTCTCTGTTGTATGTTTCGGTAAAGAAATTCTTCTTAACACATGGGTCACTTTCTGTAGTTTACTTGTTTCACATGAAGACTCTCACAAAGCTCAACTAGAGGTGCGCATTTGACAAGTTTGTTTAACGCAGTTCTCAGGAAAGGCTCAGGCAGAGTCTCTCAGCCGCACAGAAGAGCTCTCAGTGACCCAGTTTTCACATCGCTGGGCTCATTGTGCGCGCGCAGCTCGTCTCCTCCTACTCCAGCTGCCTGAAGGCACCACTGACTGACTCACGTGCTGTCACAGGTTGACTTGCCGTGTGCAGATTTTAATGACTTTGGATGGTAAGGGTAGCAAAGTTCTTTCAGCACAAAGCTTCCATAAGATACTACCGGAGGGTAACTTTTCCACTAACTTAAAGAAAACATTGATTTTTCCCATTTCAGACTTGTGTTTTAATTTATAGCTTCATAGAAGATTTTATTTACCTTCCCCTTTAATTAGGAGACCAATCTGTAGAAAAATAAAAATTTTAAAGAAATTTGTGAAAAGCTATACACATTAGCAACTCAGTGACTTACTTTAGAAATCTGATGTAGTTTTTAAAAAATTGCTTCTCTTCATAATTCTTTTGTAGGCAGTGTTCACAGCATGTTTTTTTAAGCCTGTAAACCAATAACTGCTTGAAGGCAATAAGCTGAAAGTAATTATAGTACTTTTAGAGTTCTTTTTTTTTTTAATAATGCATTGAAAATTACCTTCTAAGGGACTAACATAGTCTCATAGAGATTTAAAATGAAATTGGAACTTTCAGATTTTTTTTTCCCTTTATGACTGGCAAATACTGGAGCTTTTATTAGTGGTTTAATTCTGAATATAAAGAATGAGATGATTAAAAAGCAAAGACTTTCATTACACATATTTTCAACTTCCGTACTGCTAGTGAAAAAGTGAAAGTGTTAGTCACTCAGTTGTGTCCGACTCTTTGGAACCCCATGGTCTGTAGCCCACCAGGCTTCTCTGTCCATGGGATTCTCCAGGCAAGAATGCTGGAGTGGGTTGCCATTTCTTTCTCCAGGGAATCCTCCCATGATGTCAGATATAAAAAGAAAACTATTTTCTCCTTTCGATTCTAACTGAAGAAAGGGCCAGAATCAGGTTTGGGCCAGGCATCTAGAGGCACTTTGGTTTATACAGATATCTTTGAAGAAATTTGAAGCAGTAAAAGAACTTTTTTTGCAAAAGGAAGTTTAACTCAGAAACTATTTTGTGTGCCTACCTTTCCCTGTGTGCTATGGGCCCTGAACAATACACAGCTTCTGTTCTCTCTCTAAAAAGGTGGAGCCCCTCCCAGTCCGGGGGTAGCTAGGCGAGAGATGGAAGGTAACAAGACATTTGCATCCTAGAAATGGATCTCTCGTTTTATTTCTAAATGTCAGCCCCTCCGGTGTTTTAAAGACATACCAAATCTTTTCTCGGTCCAACTGTAAACTCCCCCTCCCCCCCCTTATGTATATCTTGTAACTTTGTATTTTTTCTATTTTCATTCTGTGTTGTGTTGTTTCTGATGGTTGTCCATTTACTTTCTCTGCAATTCTTAAAATGTTGTTTTGAGCTGTTCTATATATATATATTTCATATATACTTAAGATGTGAAATTAATGTGCAGTATTATTTTAAGAAGAATGCCTTTGAAATTCTTTTCAGAATAAGTCAAATGTTTAGAAATGTACTATACTAACTCTGAAGTTTTAAAAATTAATAGTTAAACCTTGTTAATTCAATCTGAGGATATAGTATTTTTTTAATTAACTTCAGATAACATAAATATGCTGAGTATCTGCTTAAAAGGCTATTAAAACTGGAAGCCATTCATTAAGATTACACTTATTAAAAGTCTGATGGGTTTCATGTAACAATTACACTTGAATTTCCTTTCAAAAAGAAGAAATCTGAGATGGTGACCTTAATAGTGTCTCCTGCTCCTTTTGGTCCCAAAAGTAGTTTATTTCATTTCAGTCTTTTCCTGCATTTTGAATGAGTTTGAGCAGTATTTCAACGCTGTCTTGTCTAAGGCAGATATTGTAATAAGTAGTGCCCGCCTTCTACCTTAATGATAGGGTTTTTCTGTAGAAATCCAAAAGATCTCATTGTAAGAGTCCTTATCCGTACTGACATCTACAGCATAAAGCCCTAAAACAGTGCTGTTTGGTGTCTTATGTGACTCGGAACGTGCAGGTCTATTGGTCCTGGAGCCGTGAGCCCACCAAGCTCTGGGAAACAGTGGGGCCACGTCTTGTGATCGTTCCCCCAAACTGATCGTGTGTTTTCAGGGTTCATAGGAAAGAGCTCTGTTGGGAAATGTTCCAAATGAGGTATCAGACCAACTGCCAACTTGTCCCATAAATGTCACTCTCGGTAGTCTAAATTTTTCTCTTTTGGAGGTGTTTTCTAAAGGGCTGATGACACCCTCCAGCATTTCTAAAACAGAATAGTTTGTTTTTCTTTTTCCACCTTGTGCCCCCATTTCTGCTGGTAATGAAACAGAACAGCTAGCTAGTAGTATACAATATGGCTTGATTGTTTACTTATGGCTAATTTTTTTTTCCTTCCTGCTTCAAAGCACCCAAAAGCCCTGGAACAACACGGAGAGATAATCTAGGTAAATGTTTGAATTCAGCTACTTAACCTTAAAACTGGACCATAAGTAGACTGTGTGGATATAAGTACATGGTTTCTTGTTTCTTTCTTTAAAAAAACAAACACACACCTGAGCTACATGGTGCAATGCCTTTGTTCCAGGACGCAGCCAGCCTCCACCTCAAGCCGGACTGCCAGGCCCGGGACTTGCCGGACACAGTGCAGCCAGACCGGTAGGCAGCACCTCGCTTGTGAGCCAGGAGGTCTAGGTCCTGGGTCCCAGCTTGCTACTAATCATATGTGTTACCCTGAAGAAATCGTGGGCTCATTAAGACTCCAGTTTCCTCAATTCTAAACTGGGGAAATTAGACTTGATGCTCTTCAAGGTACCTTCGTGTCTGTGTGTGTGTGTGTTTTATTCTGAGTTGTGTGTGTGTTGTGTGTACTCGCTGAGTTGTGTCCGACTCTTTGCAATCCCATGTACTGTAGCCCATCAGGCTTCTATGTCTGAAATTTCCCTGGTAAGATTACTGGAGTGGGTTGCCATTTCCTTCTCCAGGGGATCTCCCCAACCCAGGGATTAAACCTGCTTCTCCTGCATTGAGAGTTAGATTCTGTACCACTGAGCCACCAGGGCAGCCCCACCTTCACCTCGAACGCTATTCTGATGTCCTCTTCAGAAGTAAAAGCAGTCTTCATTATTTGAATAAAAGTGGTACAGTTACGTGATTACAGTCACTAAGTAAATATCTTAGAATCTTGAAATATATGGGGAAGTGACATAGTAGGGCAACTTTTTATGACATTATCTGAGTAATTAATGAGGTAAAGTCATTCTTCAGTCAGAAAGGTTTTATTTTACTTTTATTTCCTTATTTTTTTATTTATTTTATTTATTTCCTTATTTATTTTTGCTGCACCTCGAGGCATGCGGGATCTTAGTTCCCCAAACAGAGATTGAACCTGCACTCCCTGCAGTGGAAGCACAAGTCTTAACCGCTGGACCACCAGGGAAGTCCGGAAGGATTTTAAAATTAGATTTCAGGAAGCCCTTTGATGATAGTCTGTCAGCTAAAACCAGTTCTAAAGGTTTAACTGCAGGAGAGCAGATGGCATTGCAGGGTTTCACCCTGCGTTGTAAGTCTGTGGTTTTCTGCGTGTTTATCTGTGTTTTATTATACACAGAATTATTCTATTATTCACTCACACGAAAATTTCTCTGGGATAGAACAAGTAATTCAAAGGAAAAAAAATAAAAAAATAAAGGAAAGAGAAACCAGTGTCAGTCTGGTGGAGCCTGGGGTTATTGGGATGCCACCAGCTGAATCCTGGAAACTGTGACTATACCTGGAAATGAAGAAACTTCTGCTAATGAAAACTACTTCAAGAGTCTAAGAAATTCTCATAAGATTTCTAAGATAGAGATATTTTGTTTTTTGTCTTGTAGCCAACCTGAAGGCCTTTTTCTATATATAATATGCTCCAAAGTAAAGTGTCTGTGGAATATACTTAAAATAGCCATTATCCACTCCCCTGTTTTTGTTTTTGTTTTTTTTAAAAAGGGGAAATTGTTATTCACCGACTCTACCACTTCCCACAAAGTACTTTGCTTACTGAATATTGTAAGAATAGGGAAGGAAAGTCAGGATTTTGTGCGATTACATTCATAACTTTTGCTTATGCATGGAATCTAGAAAGATGGTACTGATGAACCTGCTTGCAGGGCAGCAGCGGAGACGCAGATAGAGAGAGCAGACTTGTGGACACAGCGGGGGCAGGAGAGGGTGGGACTAACAGAGAGTAGTATGGAAGCGTATATGCTACCGTGTGTAACACAGACAGCAGGTGGGCATCGCGGAGCTCAGCCCTGTGCTGTGTGACAGCTTAGAAGCCTGGGGTGGGGTGGGAGATGAGAGCGGGGTTCAGGAGGGAGGGGACATGTGTGTGCCTGTGGGGGATTCAGGAGGGAGGGAACATATACCTCCATGTGACTGATTCATATTGATGTATGGCAGAGGCCAGCAAATAGTGTAAAGCAATTAGCCTCCAATTTATAAAAAAATAAGAAAAAGGTACTGAGTGCTTAAAGCCTTCAGCAAACATGTGAAGATAGAAAAGGACGTTATTTCCCCAGTGTATCTTCCAGCGTATGTATTTCAGCACATTGAGTTAGCCATTCCAGAGTTTTTAACCTCTGTGTTTATAAAGAAAAACAGCCTCAGTGTAGTTTTTGGTAAGCCTCTTAGTTCCACAGTGTATGTCCCGCTCCATCTCCTCATGACCTGTAACATCGTCCCACTAAGGCAGTATGATACAGGATAAAGAACACGGGCCTTGAGTTCGGCTCCTGGCTGTATTTTCTAACTCTGTGGCTTTGGGACAGTTGTACACATTTCTTCATTTTCATTTAAGTTAGAGATGATGAAATAATACCTTACCCCCAGGGCCATTTGGACATTGAAATGTAAATGCATACCCAAATGCTTAGTTAATATAGTGCCTGGCACATAGTAAACAGTGAAAAATAAAAAGATTTTTGAAGCTTAAGGAGCAAAACTGGGTCATTTGTGGAGACATGGATGGACCTAGAAAGTATCATACAGAGTGAAGTAAGTCAGACAGAGAAACAATATTGTGTATTACCCGTATATATGGAATGTAGATAAATACTATAGATGATCTTATTTGCAAACAGGTAATAGAGACACAGACATAGAGAACAAATATGTGGATACCAAGAGGCAGGGGAGGAATTGGGAGATTTGGGTTGACACATATATGTGTGTGTATACACACACACACACACACACACACACTATTGATAGTATGTATAAAGTAGATAATTTATGAGAAACTGCTGTTATATGGCACAGAGTTCTGCTTACCGCACTGTGGTGGCCTGAGGGGGTGAACCCAGAAGGGAGGGTATATGTATGTGCGCCTGATTCATGTTGCTGAGCAGTAGAGACCAACACAACATTGTGAAGTAACTATGCACCAATAAAAGTTAATCCGTAATAAAAAAAAACAAAACTTATGATTATATGGCAATAAATAGAGCCACTAGAATGACCAGAGGCTGAGGAAATGATACGAGATGCACAAACAAAATATTTTCAGCAAATCTTATCCATTGCAGATAAGGAAAATGTCTCAATGGTTTTCATTTCCCATCTTTAGATTATTCCACCCCGTGCTGGAGTCATCAGCGCCCCCCAGAGCCATGCACGGGCATCTGCTGGGAGACTGACTCCTGAAAGCCAAAGCAAACCCTCAGAAGTACAGAAAGGTAGACCTATAGTCGAAACGACAGTGTATCCCTCCCTTCCACTTCTTTTCTTTTTTCTTTCTGCAGTCTCTCAATTTATACAACTTACTCAAATTGAGGTAGCCTTCTTTCTCTCTATCTTTTTTTTTTCCTGTCTTTCTGTATGCCATAATAAAGGAGGCTACTGGGGGCTGGGAAAGGGACTGGAATCTCCTACCATTTCCCAAAAGGAAGGATAAACACAGTTTTCCAGAGAACACCTAACATCTGGAAATGACTTTCTTTAGGGCCAGCTCTTCTTCCCGAACCCCTGAAGCCTCAGGCCGCCCTTCCTGTGCCGTCTTCTCTGCCGCCACCTCTTCAGAAGATGCAGGAGCCTCTCATCCCGGTGGCCGCACCTCTGACCCAGGCTGCCCCGCAGCCCAGCCTGGAAACGCCCCCACAGCCGCCCCCTCGGAGCAGGTCGTCCCACAGCTTGCCTTCTGAACCTCCGGCGCAGCCGCAGGTAAGTCCTTCCAGCGGGCAAAAAGATTGTGGGGGGGTGTGTGTGTGTGAAAAAGATCGTGGGGTGGGGTGGGTGTGTGTGTGTGTGTGTGAAGAAGATCGTGGGGTGGGGGGGTGTGTGTGTGCTTTTGCTTACTTTTTGTTTTGTTTTTCTTTTTTTTTTTTTTTACTGAGACATATTTGATGCCCAGGGGGTGGGGTTGGGGGTGTGTGTGTGTATGTGTGTATGCGCGTGCTTTTGCTTACTTTTTGTTTTGTGTTTCCCTTTTTTTTTTTTTACTGAGATATATTTGATGCCCTTGCTTTAGTCTTTGAACATACTTATTTTAATTATTAGCTTTAGAAAAAACACCTTAAAGATTTGACTTTTTAAAAAGTTTTGTCATTTGCTGGTAATAACATGTTTAGATATGACTTCAACCAGTGAATGTCATTTGACATCTCAGATTCATCACACGACAAACGCATGTTTGGCTATTTCAGGGTTTGGGTTTTTTGTTTGTTTGTCCAACCTGTTGTCTGAATCAAGGGTTCTCAGAGAGTGACCCTAGATTAGGGCTCTTTCCCTAAAGGCTGTTTTCCCTCAAACTTCCAAATGGCTCCCAGGCTGTTTTACCTTGTTTAAAGCGTAGGTGATTTTTTTGGTTTTTCTGTGTATAATTTACTTTGGATACTTAATTAGAATGGACAGTAATAATTTAGTTTCTTTTTGTTCACAGCTATTAGATAGTTTTGACCTTTACCTCCTGGACAGAAAGGCAGTCAGGTCAGTCCCTGGCCATTGGCAGTAAATTTCCAATAATCCTGTTTCTCCTGATGCTGCAGTTAGGTCTTTTCTGTGATGGAGCTGGCACTGGGCTTCCTTGGGGATCTCTAACAGTTTCAGACACTACTGGATCCATTTAGATGTTCCAGGCGTGCAGCAGCAGGCTTATTCACCAAAGTAAAAACCATGTTCTCATGAGTATCGCATAGAAAATAGTGCCATTGCCTTGGTGGGTGGAAATCACAGGGTCACAGGGACTTCTGTTATCCCAGAGTGATCTCACATTGGAAAGCCTTCTGGTGTGTATACACAAAGTTGTTTCAACACAAGGATATTCATGCAAGTTGAATTGTTTTACGTGGAGGCTGTTTTACTTAGTTTTTATTATATACATCTCAGTAAAATCATTAAAATAAGGTTTATCTTTAGTAAAAGTTTATCTTTAGTATAAGGCTTATCTTTTTATTTGTGTTGTCTAGCCTCACATTGAATTTTATCAAAAAGTTTTAACTTGAAAATTCGATCAAGGTCAAAGAAGTGAAGTTTGAGTCTGCTTTTATTTTGGAATAGTCTAAAATACAGAACTGTTACACTGGTGATGTCCCTTAAGCATGTTTATAATAATAGTTTGCATTTATTTTTACAGGTATATGAGTATGTCCAGCTAGTTGGCAGAAGTTAGCAGTTTCTATGCTTCTTCATAGTGAAAAACAGATTATAAAGTAAATACGAATCTTGAAACAATATGAATATTGTTAGTAATGAGCACTTATTAGACTATTGGTCACATTTTTTAAAAAGCTAAGACAGATATATAATTAAGAATAATGTTCTCTTAAGCTAATTAACACCAAAAAGTATTCTGTAGTTGACAGTGCTGAAGATATATAGTAATTATATAGAAGTCCTTCAAACAATAAATGTCCATTATTTTCTCTTTGCCAATCTACTTTTAGTGCATGATGATTTTTTCTTTTCATTTTCTTGTAAGGTGTAGTAGTATATTTATTATTATTTTATTTATTTATTTATTTATTTTTAGTGTAATTGGGGGGCAAGAAACTTTCAAAGAAGCCATCTTAGAGCTTTGTATTAGTACAGTTTTAGAACAGAAAGTGATCATGATTTTCACAGTAAAGTTGAACCCTAATTCCTAAAATTCTGTAAGATGTTTTCTGTATTGAAAGTAGGTGTGGTACTCTGAACAGCTTCAGAAAGAACACACTGTCAAGGAAGATTGTAGTTCTCAGCAGAAAGTCATCTTATGACACAAATAGTATAGGATGAATATTCCATGACTGCCATGTTATCATTTTCTTAGGTCATTTCCCCATGTTTTGCTTTCTGATTTTCATTGGAATTGGTATGATGATTTGGTGACAAAGCACAGCAAGCCTGTGCTTTGTTTGTGTGTATTCTTGACTCTTATATTCTGGTCATTAAAACTGTGAAAGGTGTTTGTTTTAAGCCTTTTTTTTGCCTCAGTCATTGATATCAAATCTCTCTACACATTATATACACAGACCCACTTTTCTGGGGTGTGGAGGTCTTGCTCATGTGTAGACTGCCTTTGTGAAAGATCACAAAGAGCTTAGTTTCCTCCTGGAAGCTTACAGTCAGAAAGAGAGGGAGGCATTTTACCTTTTGTGCCTTTTTAATTTTGAACCATAAAAATAATGCCTATTCAAAAAATAATAAACATCTAAAGTTTTAAAAATTCTTCTATAGTGGCTATAACTTGAAAAGGGTAAGTTAGTAAAATAACTCACATTTTAATATTTTGGTAGTAATATGAAATAGTCTTAGAATTTAACACTTAGTAATTTTTACACATCTTTATTACTTCTGCCAAAAATATAAAAGGTATTTAAAACATAGAAACACACATGACCCAGCTTTACTTGTTATTACTATTTAAGTTCTTTGATTCTATAATTCTGAATAGAAAAGATTCTTCTAATTCAAATGATTATATGTTATATATCCTTTAGAAAATGTACAAATGCTCCACTTATCTGACTTTCAGTGTCTTAGTCATCTGATTATCAGCTGAAAACCAGAAGTCAGGAATCCAATGGGAAGTAAAGTTAATAGCATCACAGCTATATTATTGAAGTTATAGCTGACAGTGAGAGAAGAGACCCAGTAGAAAATCTCAGGACTTCCCTGGCAGTCCAGTGGTTAAGACCCTGTGCGTACTCTGCAGAGGGCACGGGTTTGATCCCTGGTCAGGGAACTAAGATCCTGCATGCTGCACGGCGCAGCCAAAAAAGAAAAAAAATCTCAGCTTTCTGGATCAATTTAATACCACCCCCTTGCATCTTAGTATAAACCCATTCCCAGTTTTTATCCAACTCTTCCAAAACTAATGTATCAGGATTATCAAGAAAGGCTAAATTGAGGAGTCTCATGTTTTGTAGTAACACATTTTATATAATATATAACAAATACATTATTTATAAAATAATTTATTTTAGCATGGTGTCTATACTGTCTAAGTGAGTTTTGGTATTTTAAAATAAGGTAAGCTTTAAATATTGGGGAAGATTTATTCAAACTTTCTTAAGAATACTGTAATTTTTTAAAGTACTGCTACTATATTATAGATTGTGATTTCATCTTTAGTATCACCCTTCAGAAAATTTGAGTGATAGAGTAAGTAATAGAACAAGCCTGGATCCTAACCATGTTAAAATAAAGACTAGTTTTCACTTTTCCGCAAAGTGGTGCCATTTTGTACAATTTCTCTAATCATGATAAACCCATAGACTTGTCTTAAGGCTGTGTCCTAACCTTTTTGGGCTGCTATAACAAAATACCATGAACTGGGTGACTCGGGCAGTAGAAATTTGTGTTCTCAAGTTCTGGAGGTTAGAAGCCTGAGATCAGGATGCCAGCATGGTTGGGTTTCTGCTAGGGCCTCTTCTTCTGTGTCCACATGGCCTTTCCTTGGTGCTTGCACAAGGGAAGAAAGAGCAAGCCCTCTGGTGTGTCTCCTCCAAAGGGTGCTAGTTCCATCAAGAGGGCCCACTCTCATGACCTCATCTAACCCCAGTCACCTCCCAGAGGTCACGTCTCCAAATACCATCATATAAAGGAGGTTGGGGTTTATTCAGCATACGAATCTGGGGGGGACACAAACATTTCATCCATGGCCTGCTGAAAATACTTCAGTGCTCCAATAATCTATTTGGAATATTATTTTTAGAATGACTACTTTGAACTAGTTACTAACCAACCTCAGACAAAATTAAGTCCTGAGCCCTATTACAGCAGTACATTTTATTGTCTCTTGATCTTATACTGTGACGTGCAGATCTCACTGCTCTTGGATTTTGTACATAATATAAAACTGAAAGTGTTTTGAAGGCTGAATTGTTAGGGTTGCTGGTTGGTCTCAGATTGTCCTCCTAACTCTTTCCCTTTTCCCTTGATGTCTGTGTTTCGTTTCTCAAAGCAGGAGCAACCATCAGGGTAACAGGTATTGGATTATTTCTCAATCTTATATGTGCTTCTCATCTGTCTTAGCACATTAGATGTATGAATCTTTTGCTTCATACATCTAAATTTTCACCCATTTTAAAAAACCACCTGTCCACATTAATAAATTCTGTTATCATACCATAAAACCTGCTTTTTTTCTTAGTATTTGGAATTCTTAGGAACCATTTTAGTTATTCTTGCTAATGCTTTCCCATTTATTTTGCTTTTTTTTACAAAAATTAACAAGACTAAAAAGTATAACTTTAAGAAGGTAAGCTTTAGATATATGAAAGTGTATTTGGCAAAACCAAATTGGTTCTTGGTTTTAACAATGGCATAATTATGTAAGTACAAAATTCAATTTTTTTCTTAGATTTCTTTTGGGAAATTAAAAAAAATAGTAGCATGATTTTTTTTTGTTAAGGAAGAATTGATGATTTACAAAGATGAAAGTTAACATTATAGCAGGATTATTTAAGGGCCTTTCCAACACCCTTCTCTGTAAAAATACCATCATCATTAATGTCAAGTCATCATAAATACTGCTTAGATACATAGAAATTCATTCTAATGTAATGAATGATGATGTGGCTCTCATAATTTCAAATCGCTTTGGGCAAAATGATCATGTTTCTATTAAATTACCTTTAACTTATTTTGAAAGAAAAATTTGATATATGAAAATAAAGATATTTAAATGTACAACATTTATTTGGCAAAGGCCTATTATTCTAAGCTGTACAAAGCATAAACTTCCTACCTATAATGTCTGTGTCATAGACTCTTTGTCTACTATGGGAGAATTGGGGCCCAGACCCACTCAAGTACTTCTGTTTTGTCATATGAATCGTAAATAACCCAGTCATTATTGGTAATATATAGCTAATTGTAATTTTACAGTGTCTATAGTAAATTTGTCTCTTAAGTACTGTAACACACTTAGAATACAGTTTAGAATCCATGACATGTCTGCTCTTTAATTTTGTACAAATTTATTGTCATATTAAGTTTGAAGAAAAATAAAACTTGTTTACTTAAAGTATACTCTAGATTAGTTGAATAAAATAGATCCTAGAGAGTGAGTCACCTAAGAAATTATCCACACCATTTCCTTCTGCAAATGAGCAGCCTTCCTTATTCCTTTTTTTTTTTTTTGGCCACTCCATGTGGCTTGTGGGGTCTCTGTTCCCTGACCAGGGGTTGAACCCAGGCCCTGGCAGTGAAAGCACAGAGTCCTGACCACTGGATCGGATGGGAATTAGCCTTCCCTATTCTTAAGCGCCAAGTTACTGTTCAGTAAGATAAAATTACGTCTTATTGGAGTTTCCCAGGTGGCTCAGTGATAAAGAATCTGTCTGCTAAAGAAGAAGACACAGGTTTGATCTTTGAGTTGGGAAAATTCCCTGGAGAAGGGAATGGCAACCCACTCCAGTTTTCTTACCTGGTAAATCCCATGGACAGAGGAGCCTAGTGGGCTATAGTCTGTAGTCGTCTCGTGGGGTTGCAGAGTCAGATACGACTTAGCAACTAAAACAACAGCAAAACAATGTTTTGAGACTGCGGCTCTTTTTTTCAACATATCTTATGTTTAGTTACTTGCTGTAACAGTGACTTAAATTCATTTTGGATCATGCTCCATTTTGTACATTGCGTCTTTAACTGAATAAAATTCTCTCTCTCCTGTGGTTTTCTTAGCTTTAATTTGGCATAAATATCCAAGTTAGCCACCTAGTTTTCGTAATTATATATAGTGTTTTTTTGTTTTTGTTTTTTTAATTAAAATAGAGTTCCCGATAAGCTAGCTACTTTTGTCAAACAGCCAGGCTTCAGTTCTGTTTCCCTTAGGAAAGTAGCCTGTGCCCAGTACCGCAGCCGGGCTCCACTCCAGCCGGCTTCTCTGTGAACCGGGCACACGGGGCAGGCTTTTCCTGACTGTGAAGTGAACCTGACCGCTCCTGCTGCAGTAACCACTCACAGCCAGCTCTGCCACGCATAGCTTTATTTTGGTTGCAGAATTACTATCCCAGACAGAAACGGGATTCCCCCCCCCCACCCCATCCAGTGTTAAAGAATCATTGTGGTTAGTTATTAATAAACCTATCTATTTTGGAATATTTTTACAAGATGAGGAAGGTCAATTAAAAATTTTTCACATTATTCAGAATTTATTCTACAGAGGAGAGCTGACATTAAAAGGCAAAGAATGCTTTGAAAATTTTATTCTACAGTGGAAAAGGAAACGATGCATGTCTTCAGCTTATGAATACAGATATACTAATAAAATTAATTTTTATCCATAAAGTTGAATTTCCATAGTAACATTAACTCTCAATGAAAATATATTTCAAAAAACATTGAAACCACATCATCATCACAGATGGGTGTTGGAAGCTTATTCATAGCGATTCAGCATAAACTTTGAATTGAATATGAGTTTCTTAAGTTCATTTGATTATCTGATATAACTGGGCATGAACCAAACTCATCTGCTAATTCAGTGCAGTTCTCCATTTTACATATCAATACTTGCATGGATAAAATAAGCTGTATTTATAAAAGAACTTAATTAGCAGGGTTTTTTTTTTTTTAAGAATATTTCATGGTACTTGTGTAACCTCCAGAGTAACAGACTACACAAAGCTCCTTTTTTTATTTTCTGAGTTTGTATACGTGACCCCTCAGAATGAAGAAGAATTGAGACAGAAAGCAGAGGGGGCACTCAAAGTAACTATTGCTTTTTGTTTGTTCTCATTATTCAGTGGGCTCTCTCTTTCCCAGGTGAAAACAAACGGAGTCTCCACCGTCAGACTGGACTCGCCATTAAAGAGTGACCCATTTGAAGACTTGTCATTGAACCTGCTTGCTGTATCAAAGGCTCAGCCATCTGTTCACACCCCAAACCCAAGGGGGTTGACGCCATTGCCTTCTGCAACCCCAAGTAACACAAACACTCTGAGTTCTGTAAGCTGCATGCCGACAATGCCTCCAATTCCAGCCCGGAGTATATCCCAGGAAAACATGCGACGTTCCCCAAATCCATTCATCCCAAGCTCAAGCAGCACAAATCCTTTTACTGACGGGACTGCCGTTCCCGGAAACCCATTTCGAGCTGAGTCTCAAGAATCAGAGGCCACTTCATGGTTCTCCAAAGAAGAGCCTGTTGCTCAGAGTCCATTCTCTTCGCTGAGGCCTCTGGATCAGAACAGTAGCAAGCCTTCATCCTCCCTGGATGGGTTTAAGGACAGTTTTGATCCGCAGGGCCCGCCTGCACTAACAGTCAGCAACCCCAAAGGATGGGTAACCTTCGAGGAGGAAGAGGACTTTGGTGTGACAGGGAAGTCAGGGTCCACTCGTCCAGATGTTTTCCTGGGTAAGCAGCCGAGCTCATCTCCTGGCTCCAAGGTGACGCTTGGTGATGACTGGGGTAGAAGTACCAATGTGTCTTTCTGTGTGTTGCCAGCAAGAAGACCACCCCCACCGCCTGTCCCTCTGCTCCCACCTGGCACCACCCCTCCCGCAGACCCTTTCACAGCCCTGGCCTCTAAGGCATCACCGACACTAGACTTGACAGAAAGATAAAGTCACACAGTAGAGAGCAGTTGTCCCTTTAGTTTTGGCAGGGTAGAGCCAAAAGATTTGGGCATTCGTTATTCATGATGTGCAATAAGTAATTGTTAAGTGCACTGATGTTGTCATGAAATACCACTATTTAATGTGTACAGAGTTGGAATATGTGTATATCAGAAATAAGGAAAAATCTTTCTCATTATTAACTGGAATTTTGGTGTGTTTCTGTTTGGATAAATAAGAGAGTAGAAGCCATAAAAAGTGCTCGAAGCTACTTTAGAAAAGTCCTCATTCAGACATTCTTCATCAGTCTCCTTTAAAGCATCTCAAAAAGCCCAAACAACTTCTAGCCGACATTGCTGCCAGCCCTTTGCTACTTGTTAACAATTGGTGTTTATAAGTATTTACCAAAGAGCCGTCAAAGGTACACTGAAACAGAATTTAGAAAGACATTGCTTTAAAAAAAAAAGTGTATACACACACAAACACACAAATGTATACACTTACATACTAGTAAAATGCATCACTTAAATTCTAGGGTATAAGTCAGACCAAATTTTTACCTAAAAGTTTTAACAGAGTTCTCTTTTCCATATAATCAAATGGATGGCTGAAAATGAAATTTGGATATTTCCATTATCTTTCTTTCCAAAACTAGAGTAATCTCACGATGGAACCAGAATTTGCCCCCATTGCCACCCCTTCTGGACACACATACCACACACCCCCTTGTCACTCTGCTCCCACACCTCTGCCTGCTTTTCTGGGGGAGGAGCTTCTTGCAGCTGGAAGTAGCATATTGTGTGGACCGACCCTCCTGCCCTTTCAAAAAAGCACGCTGGCCACAGATGTCAGGAAGGCACGTGCCACCAAGTTCAGTGAGAAGTAAATGAGAGTTAAAGGTCCATGAAGGTGTCCGAGGCCCCATGGCCTTCCTCACTTCTCAAGCTGGTGAGCCAGGCAGCGCCCACCCTGGGGAGTGCTGAACTGGAATCTACCATGTGTTCTCTCCCCCATCTGTGATGCTGCTTTACATTCTTAGAGGCTACACTTCAAATTAGCTGTGGATTTTGTCTCCTGCACTGCCAGTATGCAGCTGATCCTGCTTTTGATTAATTTTATGAAGACGTTCATAATTTCTACAGAATGTAGTATTTTGATATCATTGAGGAATCCTAATCAGAAAATTCCTGGAGCAATAGTTGTTTTGCTGTTAGTTTGAAATCACCTTTACCCATTATATTAGCATTCCTTTTATACAAACAGTTGTAAATGTCACCTGAATTCCACTGTCCACATTTAACCTTTAACACGTGCATTGGGGGAATATCAGAAAATGGAGTTAACGGCTAAGAATACATAAGATGTAGAAAAGCACAGCAAGCTGCGTCGCACTTAACCACATAAAGCAAATCTATTAGGAAAAAGCACTTTTCTAAATGCTCAAATGTTATCAGAATACTATATTTATAAAAGTAATTCTCTCTCTATTAACAGCCAGGACTTGCTGTTAGAAATAACTCTCGTGAGTTTTATATTGCGCTTTTTGGGGGGTTCTAATCATTTCAGCAGTAGTATATTTTAAACAGCAGTATTACTATAAGCAGTGTGCTTCAAAATGTGAATTAACTTGTTGAAACTGTGGCTTTAACATCTGTGTGATTAGTGTATACGGTATTTGCTCTCCGTTAGGAAAATAACTCATTATAAACTTTAGTGCAACTGCAGTTCTGTGAGCAGTGTTTCCCATTGAATAGAAACTACTGTCTAAAATACACATATCAAGCAGCAGCTCAGCCTTTGTCAGGAAGTTCTGTTGATACTTGGCAAGTTGCTGGAAAAGGGCACAAAGTTAGGACAGACATTTAAAGGTATGCTGCAAATAACTAGCCATTGTTCTGCATATTATTAAAATATTGACCAGTTCTGTTAAAAGCAGAGCAGAAGCTAGACACTAAGGATCTCTGTGAATTCTTTGTTCTCTATAGTAGATTGCTGTTTATATGTAAGAATTTTATTGCTTATGTGGCACACAGTATTTATAACTATATACTTTATAGGAGTACAGTATTAAAGTCAGTGGCATATAATCACTGAACATACCCTGTGAAATGTGCTGTCATATGAAATAAATATACCTGTCTTTACCATCCTGACTGCTTTGCTCAAAAGGGAAGAATTTTTCTCAGCTATTTTCCTTTAACTTTAAATAGATGAGTTTGGCAATGTTTGAGGATTAATTCTTACTGTCAAATCAGGTTTTTTTTTTTTCAAATCAGGTATTTTAATTCAAGATGTTATTCTCATCCATTTTATTTCTCTGTGTGATTGTTGTTGTTCAGTCGCTCAGTCATGTCCAACTCTTGGTGACCCTATTCATTGCAGCATGCCTGGCTTCCCTGTCCTTCACCATCTCCTAGAGCTTGCTCAAACTCATGTCCATTGAGTCAGTGATGCCATCCAACCATCTCATCCTCTGTCTCTATGTGATACTTCTGCTGAAAGTAGAAAGCTATTCTCAAATTACTAATCATCATTAAGAAGTCATGTGCTTATTCTGTTAAGAGAGGCCCTCATTCAAAATCTTGCTGGCTTGAAAATAACGTGGACACATGAATGATGATCTTCTGACCCACAGCAAGAGAAACAGCTGGGGGATGGTGGGGGCGGATGAGGGGAGCAGAGGAGAAACAGGCTAACGAATAGCCAGACAAAAGAAGAGACCACCTTAAAAGTGGCTGGTGTTCCTGTGAGTATTGCCTTTTTTCAGATTGCTATTTAAAGCAATAACCTTGATTCTTACATAATTCAATTATGTTCATTAATCTTTGATTAAGAAGTTACAGATAGAGAATAATAGGCTTTGTAAAAACTTTTTATTTTAAGGTAACTGTAGATTTGTATGGGCTTCTGTGGTAGCTCAGACAGTAAAGAACCCACTTGCCAATGCAGGAGAGAACAGGTTTGATCCCTAGTTGGGACGATCCCCTAGAGAAGGAAATGGCTACCTACTCCAGTACCTTGCCTGGGAAATCCTCTGGACAGAGGGGCCTGGCGGGCCACAGTGCATGGGGTCACAAAGAGCCCCACACAGCATAGCAACTAAACAACGTGCCATTGTAAGAAATAATACAGAAAGATTCCCGGTATCCTTTACCCAGTGGTAACATTTCGCAAAACTATAGTGCAATACCATAGCCAGTACTTTAACACTGATAGGAAAGATGATCCCATCTCCCTGAAGATCCTGCATGTTGCCTTTTCCCCACTTCTCTCCCATCCCATGCCCTTCTCCTGTGTCCTTAACTTCTGGCAACCACTGATCTATTCTCCATAATAGATTGTTCTCCATATTCACTATAATCTTGCCACTTCAAGAATGTTCCATAAGTGGAACCTTTTGGGATTGACTTTTTAAACTCAGCACAGTTCTCTGGAGATTCATCTGGATTATGTGTAAAATAGTTTTTTCCTTTTTATTTTTCCTTTTTCTTGTTACATAGTATTCCATGGTATGCATGTACCACAATTGGTTTAACCATTTATTCATCCACTGAAGGACATTTGGGGGTGTTCCCAGTTTGGGACTATTATAAATGAAGCTGCTCTGAACACTTGTCTCAGGTTTTTATGTGAACGTAAGTTTTCATTTCTCTGGGATAAATGACCAGGGGTGGATGCTGGGTCATAGAATGGTTGCATACTTGGATTTTTTTAAAGCTGCCAAATTTTCTTCTAGAATGACCAAATAATTTTACATTCCCATCAGCAACTTAGGAGTGACCCAGTTTTTCATATCTTTGCCTGAATTTCATCGTGGCTTTGTCTTTACCCTAAGAGCTAATGATGGTGAACATGTTTTCATGTGCTTGCCATCTGATGCCTTTTTTTGTGAAATATGTCTTTTACCCATTTTCTAAATAGATTGTTTTTTAACTATCATGTTTTGAAGGTTCTTTATATATTCTAGAGACTCCACCTCTGTTGAATATGTGCTTTGTAAATATATTTCTCTGTCCATAGCTTATCTTTCAGCCTCGCCACATGATTTATAGCAAGATCCTAAGCCCTGCAGGTCCACAATTACCAGCATGAATGACTGACACAGGAAAACCAAACTCATGTATAAAGCAAAATGCCACTTTATTATGTTAGAAAAAAAGTCTGACCACATCAAGATATCAGACGTAGAAAAATGGGAACTCATACGTTGTTGGTGAGAGGGCAAATTGGCACATCAATTCTAGAAAAATAACACCCAGTAGGACTTCCCTGGTGGTCCAGTGGTTAAGAATCCACCTGTCAATGCAGGGGGACATGGATTTGATCCCTGGTCTGGGAAGATTCCACATGTCGCCGAGCAACTAAGCCCACACACCCCAACTGCTGAGCCTGACCGTCAGAGCCCATGCTGTGCGACGAGAGATGCCGCCAGCATGAGAAGCCAGTGCACCACAACCAGAGAAGGCTTCAAGTCACAACAAAGACCCAGCACAGCCAAAAAATGATTGACTAATTTAAAAATACAAATAATGTCCAGTAAGGTTCATATATTCTATCACAACAAATTTGACCTGGAGAGAAATTCTAGGACAAGTGGAGTAGGAATGCACGTTTGTAATGGTGAAAACTAGAGAGAAACTAACCGTCAAGAAGGGAGTGGAGTGATGTATTTCTGGTGCAATACTATGTAGCAGTGAGAATAAGTGAATGAAGTTTTAGTACATTTCATTATGGAGCCATAAAGCAAGGTACAAAATAATACGGTATGACATTAGTTATATGAAATTTAAAACATACCAAACAACATTCTCTGTTTGTTAGGGATACATATGCCTGTTACATATATATGCTCAGTCCCTCAGTTGTTTATGACTCTCTGTGACCCTATGGACTGTAGCCCACCAGGCCATGGGATTTTGCAGGCAACAGTACTGGAATGGGTTGTCATTCCTTTCTCCAGGGGGATCTTCCTGACCCAGGATCGAATCCACATCTCCCGGATCTCCTGCATTGCAGCCAGATTCTTTACCTCCTGAGCCATGGGGGAAGTCCCACATATGTGTGTTAATGGTATTAAAACAATTTTTTTTCAACACAGTAAAAACTTTCTTTTCCTCTCTGGTTACCTGATATCTAGCAGTCAACATGAATGCCCCATTAATTATCTGTACCGGAGTGTTTATCACTACTAATGGATTGCTTCAGCAGATACAAATGCTCATAAGATGCCCTATACCCTAGAAAGGAAACAGTACCTAAAATATTTAGAAATAATAAACCAAAGTACATAGGCACACACAGATGTCATATTTGTCTTCAAATTGAGAACCCATCTGGGTGACAATACAATAGGCTTTAGCATGGTTTATGATCACTTAAACTACAATGAGGAAAAGCTACACACAAAATTTGTATGACACAACCTGTGTGAGAAGAAAAGGACCTTAAGTAAATACAGAAAGGAATGCAATGTAAGAATACAAAGGCAAATAGCAGTGCTGACAAAGATTAAAGATGGTGCAAGTGTTCAACCTGTGACAATGTAGTTAATGGGCTTCCATGGTGGCCCAGTGGTAAAGAATCTGCCTGCCAAGTCAGAGACCCAAGTTCAATCCCTGAGGTGGGAAGATCCCTTGGAGAAGGAAATGGCAACCCACTCCAGTGTTCTTTTCTGGAGAATCCAAAGGACAGAGGAGGCTAGTGGGGTACAGTCCATGTGGTTATGGACACAACTTAGCGCCTAAACAATAACAACAATGTAAAGTTAGTAAGTACATATTTAGAACTGGATGACCTGTACAAACATGGGTTTTCTATTGTTTTCATTCGTTTTACATTTATTAAAAAATTATACCCTGAGACCCAGTCTGTAATACATGAGTGTTTGGATAAAATGGTTCTCACTACATAGAAGTCTATATATAAAGCAAGTTTTAAGCAGGAATGGCCTGATGGATACTTAGTTGGATTCAGGAGAAAATAGGAGGATCTAACAGCCAGCAGTCAGGAGGCAGATGAACCCAGTAGACCCCTTTCTCCCTCTGGGTAAAAGACATTTGCCAGTCTGACCAGTACTACATGTTCCAGGGCCTGGGTGACCCCTGCCCGGACAGGACTAGAGACGAGAACACATCTATCTTCCCCCCTGGGCGCCGTCCCTCTTATCATTCTGGCGGTCTTCACGTGAGGCTCTGGGTTGGCCTGACGCATTCCCAGGCCTACAGTCTCCCACTTTCTTCCCTCTGCCCAGGATCTTCAGGGATACAGATTCAATGCAGGGAGTCAAAGTTTCAGGTCTGCGGAGTGGCAGGTGCTTGTAAAATTCAAATCAATTCGTATTCGGCAACGGCCCTTCCAAGGAAACAACCAGGGGTGGGGCCTTGCACTCGTGAGCAAGGACTCAGTGCAAGTGTTACCCATCCCTTTAAGACACTCCTTGACCATCCTATCTAAAAACTCAATCACTCTGTTTAATTTTTTTACTTTTTAAAATTTGCCTTATCCGTTTATGTTTGCTTTCCTTTTGTCACTTAAAACTGAATATAAGCTCCATGAGGGCGGTGACCCTGGATCTTCCGCCCTGTTTGGGAATAAACAGCGCCGCCCACGACTGCCTTTAGTAAGAATTTTGCTGGACAGTGAATGACGACACTTTGTGGAGCGTCGTTCCGGCGTCAGCCGCGCCAGACACACTAGACTTGGGGAGCCGAATAACCCCGCATGGAGAAGTACGGACACGTTCCCCGATTCCTCAGACCTGAAGACCAAAGAACCAGCAGCCCACGGTCTCGCGTCAGCTAAGCTTCACGGCCTCTCCTCAGGGTTCCAGAACGGAAGCAGCCAGAGGCGTTTCCGGAAGTGGAGACTGAGGAAGGCGGAAAGGCTGGCGAGGCTTGGAGCGGCGGTGGGAACACTGCTGGGGGGGCTCGGTGGCTCTGGGTGCCCGCCACCCCAACCCATTCCCGGTCGAGCAGCCTCCCTGCCCCTCCCCGCCAACTCCCTGGATGGAATCCCTGGACCCCGGCAAGCTGACCGGGCGGCCAGAACTCCACTCAGCCGGCTGGTCGGTTTGAGGGTTGCCACGGCAACAGCCACTTCCGGGAGTGGGTGCTCGGCGAAGTCGGCTCGGCCGGTGCGGGGCGGGTCCGGGAGACTCTCCCGGACTCTTTGCTTGGCCGTACCTGCTGTCAGGGTAGTGGAGGGAGGCCCGGGTCTCCGCGCACCGTAGCTTCCCCAGCCTCAGGGTCTGCCCTTGAGCCGTGGGCCCCACCCCGCGCCCTCAGACCGCGTTTCTCTGTTGCTCTTGGCAACAGCCACTTGCGGGAGCGGGTGCTGTTTTCCCCCCGTCCCCCTCCCTGCGCCCAGACCGTGTTTCTCTGTTGCTCCTGGCAACAGCCACTTCCGGGAGCGGGTGCAGTTTCCCCCCGTCCCCCCGCCCCGTCCCAGCACCGCGAGCGCTCGAACCCAGGGTTCCGGCCTCCCGGCAACCGTTAGTCGGCGATCTTCGCTGTCCGCCGGCGGGAGCGGGTGACCGCGGGCCGCTTGTCCAGGGCCTTCCGGCGGGGCTCTCGCGGCCACCATGGTTGTGCTGCATGTGAAGCGAGGCGACGAGAGCCAGTTCCTGCTGCAGGCGCCGGGGAGCTCGGAGCTGGAGGAGCTCACGGTGCAGGTAGCCCGGGTCTACAACGCGCGGCTCAAGGCGCAGCGCCTCTGCTCAGGTGCGGCCCAGCGTCGTGGGGCCTGGGAGGGGAGAGAGAACTGGGCCCGCGGGGACGGGGCGAAGTTGGGCGGAACGCGCCAGGCCTCCTCTGGCCGGCTAGGGGCGACCGAGGGTCAGGCCGGTAAAGACTGCGAAGACGCGCAGCCGGTAAAGACTGCGAAGACGCGCAGCTGCCGGGCTTGAGATGCGGACCGCGGGTTTCCCCAGAGATGCTTCCAGGAGCGGCTGCACCGCGTGGGAAATCAGTTCTGAATCTTCATTGGAAAGACTGATGCTGAAGCTGAAAGTCCAATACTTGGGCCACCTGATGCAAAGAACTGACTCATTTGAAAAGATCCTGATGCTGGGAAAGATTGAGGGCAGGAGGAGAAGGGGACGACAGAGGATGAAATGGTTGGATGACATCACCGACTCAGTGGAGATGAGTTTGAGTAAACTCCGGGAGTTGGTGATGAACAGGGCCTGACGTGATGCAGTTCATGAGGTCGCAAAGAGTCGGACACGACTGAGCGACTTAACCTGATTGTAACGAGTGGAGGGGTGCTCCGAGCCGAAAGGGCGGGCCGCTCCAGGGTCTGGGGAGTCGGGATTGGGGCTCTGTGAGCAAAACAAACCGACCTAAGTCCCGAAACCGAGGCGGGGGGAGGGGGGACGGGAGGTGGCACGGGAGAGCCGAGAGCCTGGGCCCCAGAGCAGGTTAGGGGATCTCCACAAGTGTGAGAGGTGGGACGATCCCCGGGCCGATTTTTAAGAGTGAGTGTTCTCTTTTGAGACTTTGGAGCTAGAGCAGTCTCTGGGGGAGGGGGGCGGAGGTGGAGGAGCCACCCAGCTTTGGGACGGTTTTCAAGAGAGACAGTAAGAGAGCCTCGCCGTTGTTGCCTCCTTCCGTGTTCCCTGCTCTAGGAAGCAGCCTGATCCTCATGTTACAGTGTTTTGGTCAGTGTTCCCTTTTCTAGGAAACAGCCTGATCCTCATGTTACAATGTCTTGGTCACTGCCCGCCGCCCCACCCCCACCCCCGGAGCGGCGAGGGTCAATGCAACTTTCCTCCGCCGGTGATGTTCCCTGGCCGTGCCGTCTAGCAGTGGTAGTTGCTGAGTCGTGTCCGACTGTTTGCGACTCCGTGGTCTGTCCACGGGATTCTCCAGGCAAGAATACACTGGAGTGGGTGGCCGGTATCTCAGGTGGCTGTTGACCACCGCCAAGACACTGCATTCTTTATTTCAATTCATTTAAATGTAAATTCTAGCGATAACGCGCCTGCCAATGCACAAGACATAAAAGCCACAGGGTTCAATCCCTGAGTCCGGAAGCGCCCTGGAGGAGGACATGGCAACCCACTCCAGTAGTCTTGCCTGGAGAATCCCATGGACAGAGAATGCCTGACGGGGTGACAGTCCATGGGGTCGCAAAGAGTTGGACAGCAAACGACTTAGCACTCACAGCCTCATGAAGCTCCTTTCTGTCGCCTTAGGCAGCACAGTACTTGACAGTATGTTAGTCCGGGTGTGATCCACGATGTGACTGTTTCTGTAATTATATCCGGTGAGTTTTGTACCACAGAGTACTCCTTAAAGATCATAAGCTGTCTTTACCTTAAGAGCTCATTTATGGGTCATTCATACAGTTTCTTAGTAAAATTAACACCGGACCAGGCTCAATTAAGTGTTAGTTTAAAATCAAAGCATCTTTGGGGAAAAGGGCCTCAGCTTCTTTTTCTGTGAAATTATCAATTGAAATGTGCTGCTGATTGTTCAGTCTCATTAGTGAGCTGGAAACCCATTCATTTAATCTGTGCTACCTGCTCTGTCATGTCTGACTCTTTGCATCCCCGTGGACTGCAGGCCGCCAGTCTCCTCTGCCTATGGAATTTTCCAGGCAAGAATACTGGAGTGGGTGCCGTTTCTTCCAGGGGACCTTCCCAACCCAGGGATCCAACCCGCATCTGGCAGGTGGATTCTTTTCCTAGTAGCTCAGATGGTAAAGCATCCACCTGCAGTGCAGGAGACCTGGGTTCAATCCCTGGGTCGGGAAGAATCCCATGGACAGAGCAGCCTGGCCCTGCGGTCCCTGGGGTCACCCAGAGTCTGACATGATGGAGCGACTAGCGCACAGCGCCACCTGTCTATAGCCCTTACCCTGGACCTGCTTTAGGCCGGCTATGCCCCGAGTCCAGGGCAGATGAGGCCTGCTCCTTGTCTCCCCTCCCCTCGCCCCAGATACTTACAGTCGGGTTGGGAGAGAGACAAGAAGTATCCCATAAATGGCCCATTGAGTTTGACCATTTGTTCCATCAGTTCAGTTCAGTTACTCAGTTGTGTCTGACTCTTTGTGACCCAATGGACTGCAGCACACCAGGCTTCCCTGTCAATCACCAGCTCCCAGAGCTTGCTCAAACTCGTGTCCATCGAGTCGGTGATTTGTTCTATAGTATTTGTTCCATAGTACTGTTATTACAGGCTACCTGGTGTCTTCTCAAAATGCTATGGAGACCCCACATACCTCTTTCATGTGAAAGAAGGGAGAGAGAGAAGGAAGGAGAAGAAAGAAAGGCAATTTTAATTTTGCAAGGTTAAAATGTGGATTCATTCTGGGGTGAATGCATATGGAATAGGAAAAATATAAAGCATGCATCTGAATAGTTAACATAATACTAGAAAATCAAGGTCTTTTCCTATCTCTGCCACCATGGAAGGGCTGCAGTAGTAGCACTGTGACCCAAGCAAGCCTCAGGTGATTCCGCTGCAAATTGGGGAAGATGGGGATGTTGATAACTGTCTGGCCTACCTCACAAGGAGAAATTGAGATAATCTATGTGAATGCACTTGCAAAACCATAACGCCCTATGTGGGTATGTATTCAGCCTGTCAGTGAATTTGAATTTATGCCTCCTGAGTGCCAGGAGGTATAACATAGCATAGAGGATTGGAGCACAGAAACTGCAGCCTGTGACCGGTGGGCGAGCCCCCAGACTCTCTGCTTCTGTTGATCTAGGATGAATCAGTGAGCATTTGCCAGAGGTCAAGGACAGGTATGCCATAGCAAGTGGCATCTAAGTGTCTGTTAAATAAAATAGCCAATGGTCCCCTGACCTCTAGGAAGCTTCCATTCCAGTGAAGTGTAGGTGTTATAATAATGACTGTGATGCATATTGTCTAATTTCCTCTTGTTTTTAAGAAATGGAAGAATTAGCAGAACATGGCGTATTTCTGCCTCCTAATATGCAAGGACTGACTGATGAACAGATCGAAGAATTGAAATTAAAGGATGAATGGGGTGAAAAGTGTATCCCTAGTGGAGGCTCAGTATTTAAAAAAGATGATGTTGGACGGCGGAATGGACAAGGTAATCCAGCGTTTTTCTTCTCTGCGCATGCCTGAATGTAACCATCAGTGTGAAAACAGTTCTTCAGGTTAAAAACTGACCGCAGTGTTTCTATTCAAACTTATAAAATACTGCAGCATGTAACTACTTGTTGTTGTTTAGTTGCTAAGTTATGTCAAACTCTTTTGCGACCCCATGGACTGTAGCCCGCCAGGCTCCTCTGTCCATGGGATTTCCCAGCCAAAAATACTGGAGTGGGTTGCCATTTCCTTCTCCAGGGGCTCTTCCTGACCCAGGAACTAAACCCTGAGTTTCCTGCTTTGCAGGCAGATTCAGATTCGTTAGCATCTGAGTCATCAGGGAAACCCTATTAACTCCTTGTAGCAAAATGCTAATCCAGGATGAATTAGATGGAAAAGAAGGCATCTGTCTTCTTGCTCTTACTAAGTTTCAGCTAGCTTTTAAATGTAGTAGATGAACCATAAGAAATTACCAACTTTATTGGCAACAAGTGATGGAAAATTGGCATTTGCATATCGTTCAATCTAATAGTCTGAGGGGATAATCGATGAAAATGTATCGCAGGGTATGTTTTGTTACAGTTTGTACATTAGGGTTTATTTAGTGATTCTATGTAGAAAGAGAAAATGAATGTCAGCCCAGCGGTCTCCACTTGAATTGACGACAGGCCTCTCTTGTACAGAGCAGTTTCGGACAGGCAGGACACTGAGGAAACTGCTCTCCTTTTAGTACATGGTTGTTTGTGTGGAATTGCAGGGGAAAAGGGATGATAACCTATTTTAATACCATACACCTTTTAACCTGCATAAAGAGCTCCCTTTAAAAGATTATAATTGATCAGTTAACAAACACTTAAGTGCTTATTATACCCTTAAAACACTCTTAGGAGCAAAGGAAAGAAAGTGTCCCTATAAAGCCTTTGCATGCTCAGAAAAAAAAATATATATATATATTGAAGATAATAGGAATTTCAATTAATGGTATTTATTTTGAACTTTAACCTAGAAAATAATAATAGTTGGTTGTCTTCCACATCTTTTCATACCTAAATCCATTCTCAATTTTGAGAGATTTTTTTTGCTTTTCAGGTGAAATTTCATCAAAGAAAGAAATCATGGTACTTGTAAAAACAGTTAACAGAATATTACCAGTTCATTATTCATATTTAAATCAAGATTCTCTTAATCACTCTGTTTTAGTAGTTTTTAGTATTTTCAGTATTTTCAATGGCTAAGTACCACCATAACTCATTAAGAATATCAAATTTGAGAGATTTAACTAACTTCTGACAGCCAGCTTTCCTGTGTCCCTTGCCTGGATTCCATTCTTGTACCTTCTCTCAGCTCACTTTCTCCCCGACTCAGGCAGAAGGGGTTAGGATGTTTAAGAAGAGTCTTAAAGATGACTGTTTCTCTCTTGCTTTTCTCCTTTTTTTATTTCTTTAGCTCCAAATGAAAAAATGAAGCAAGTTATAAAGAAGACTATAGAAGAAGCCAAAGCAATAATATCTAAGGTTAGCTTTTTAAATGATGTTCTAAAGCTTGTCTTTTGAAATACAAACTTCAGTTAATGGCTTCCAGAGTTATCTGCCAGCCAGCTTTTTTTCATTCTTTCTTTTTCTCTCTCTTTCTGTCTCACTCTCCTCCTCTCCCATCACACCCCCCCGCCCCCACCCCACCTCCAGAGGCAAAGGAGATAAGCATGTTTAGAGCGGGCCTTAGCTTTTTTTTCCTTTCCCTTAGTTGTGGCAGTTGTCCTCAATCCTCTCAATGCCTTCAAGTCAAACAAAAACAGTTACTGGCTTGTGTCAGTGTGGCTCAAATATAAATTGGTGCTTATATTTTGCTTCCTTAGCCCTTTTTTTTTAAGTTGAGCTATAGTTGATTTACAGTGTTGTGTTACTTTCAGGCCACATAGTGATTCAGTTGTGGTTTTTTCCATCTGATTATAAGTTATTACAAGATATTGAATATAAGTCCCCGTGCTAGTCAGTAAATCCTTGCTGCTTATCTCTTTTACGGGTCGTAGTTTGTGTCCATTAAGAACTAAAGAAAGACGAGTAGGGCAGATGCGAACCTTGTGGCCACTCACTGGACCTGCGGAATCTGACTGACAACACGTGTGTATTATGAGTTAGCTCTTTGTAATCATCTGAATTGGAGAAGGAAATGGCAACCCTCTCCAGTAGTACTTACACACAAAATGTTTCATTGAAGGGGAAACAGAAGTCAGACTGCTGACAGACATAGGCTGTGAGTCTGGAGCAAAGTAATTTAAGGATTTTTCAGGAATTGAATGTTTTTATCAGTGGCTTTTATTTACATGTTCCTGATGTTCGTTGCCCCCACCCTCCCTCCACCGTGGTCTTCCTGGATAACTGCTGCTTCTCCTGTTCCTCCCAGTGCTCTGGGTATCACTGTGATTCCTAAGCCAGCGAATCCTTTAAGTGCTTCAGGGGAGCCTGTCTTCTGCCTGTCAATATAGGAAAGGCGTTGGGAAGGCTTTGGTTTGACCCAGGGTTTGCAAAATGCGTTTGGCTGCAGAGACTATTTTTTTAAAGGATGAAAGTGAAAGTCGCTCAGTCGTGTCCGACTCTCTGTGACCCTATGGACTGTAGCCCACCAGGCTCCTCTGTCCATGGGATTTTCCAGGCAAGAATGCTTGAGTGGACTGCCATTTCTTTCTCCAGGGGATCTTTCCAACCCAGGGATCGAACCTGGGTCTCCCACATTGCAGGCAGATGCTTTACCGTCTGAGCCACCAGGGAAACCCAGAAGGGTAGATAATAACTAGTAACTTGTAGTCAAGATGGCCCCTCCCAGAACAGGTTAGGAGGGCAGTGTCCTGGGCCCTGCTCCGCCTGCTCCAGTCCCCACGCCTCCTCTGTGGAAATCCTTCCTATTCGTTTGTGTCACTTTTTCCCTTTGTGTATTTTTATGTTGTCATTTCATAGCTTAGAGACAGCTTTCACGGGGCTTCCAGTCGTTTTTCTGCAGCAGTTTGCCCAAAGTGGCGGAGCTCGCATGGGCCAGGGCTCGAGTCCCACCCGGGGCCCTTCCCGCTGCCCCCACATGTAGCCGGCCTGGCTCCCACCTCCCCAGACCTGCCACGTGGGGGCCGCTAGCCCCGTGGGTCAGAACACGCGGCTGGCAGGTGGGCGCTCAAATCCCAGCAGCCCCACCATCCAGCCCCTGGGACCAGGGCCTCTGCCTCTATCGCTCAGGTTCCTCCAGGGGAGTGTGGAAGGTGGTGGGACACCCAAACTGGGGCCCCTTGGGGGTGGGCAGCGACGTCTGTGCACCCTCTGCCGAGGGCAGGAGCCCAGGATTGTGGGGAATCTGTCGTCCTGAGGCCACACCTTGAGTTTATCTGTCCACCCCCGTGGTGCCTGGTCAGGACCACTGCCCTTGGTATCAGTGGAGCTTTTGTAGAAAGTGACCCCCTGGCTCCCCTGTCTGGGCATATTGGGGGGGTAACGTCCTCTGGGCGGGACAGCTGCCTTCAGGTGACCCCAGGTCTAGTGGACCGTCACACCGTCTGTGGGCGCGGGCCCCTCCCGGGGAGGCCCAGCACATGTGATGGGCATTTCTGACTTGGAAACAATTTCATAAGCCGCCCTGGGGGTAGGTAAGGCAAGAGACACCCCCAGAGCGCCAGGCCCAATCCTCCCGGGTTTCTGAGAACCTGGCCCCTGTTTTCTTACCCCCCACAGACATGGCCACCTTGGGGCCCCCAGTGGCCCCCGAGCTGCACATCCAGAATCCTTTCCCGTCTGACCCCTGAATCACATCTGACTTTGCACCACGTCCGCGGGCCTCTGTCCTGGCTGCCTCGCAGCTTCAGGTCGCTGTTTTCTCTTCCTCTTGCTGCTTAAACCCAATGTCTCGCCAAGTGTGTTAACCTCAGCTCTCTTCTCTTCTCTTTCTGTTCTTTCTTCCTTGGCATTTTATCTTTTCTGCCAAATACCAGCTTCCACTCTCTGCAGATAACTCCCCAATCTCTGTCCTCTACCCCAGAACCCTTCTTTGCTTGCACCCTGGATTTCTTTCATCTGGGAGTCCAGCCAGCACTTCAGACTCATTGATTCCTCTGCCGGGTGTCCTGTACTCAGGAGCTGGCCCTTCCTGTAGACTTTTCATTTCTACTAACACAGCCGCCAGTGTATCAGGGTCCACTTTGTCACTGCCTCTTTCTCACCCGAATGCCTTGTCTAGTACCCTACCACCTGCTTCTGTGATGCCTCCTGAATCCCAATTGCTCCCCTCGTTTCCACAGTTACCACTTTATTTACAGTCCCCCTGAGAGTCTCTGTGCAGACGTCAGCTGGGGGGCCTACAGTTCAGTTCAGCTCCAATGCTGACTCCCTAGCGCTCACGCAGACCCCATGAGCTAAAGCGTGAGGTCCTTGACCAGACTTCCTTGGCGGTCCAGTGGTTAAGAGTCTGCGCTTCCACTGCAGGGGCTGTGGGTTCAATCCCTGGTCAGGGAGCTAAGATCCTGGGATTCTTGCTCTCGGAGTGTTCTCCACGCTTCACCCCCTCAATGCCACTCATATTCTGCATTATCGCCGAGGCTGTGGTGGCCGTGGTTGAGCCCCACAAATAGATCAGAGTCACTTCGGTAGAAGCTCTGTCTGATTCTGTTTGCCGCTCCGGCAGGAGCTGGCGTGGGTCTTGTACAAGAACCTGATTGACATCTGTTGAGTTGATTGGCTGCATCATAGATAACAGTACCCGCAACCACTTTCAGAAACAAGTGGAAGCCAATGTCTGCGTGACCATGGAGATGGTGAATGACGCCTTGGACCAGCTTCGAGGTGCCGTGATGATAGTTTATCCCATGGGGTTGCCACCGTACGATCCCATCCGGATGGAATTTGAAAATAAAGAAGATTTGTCGGGGACTCAGGTATGTGGGTGGCTCTTGGGGTCTCTATCATGTAAGTTCATGCCTACTCCCGCCCCAGGGCAGAAGCTGCTCATGTTAGACCTCATATTTGTCCTGATGTAGTTTTTGCTTCATGCACAGCTTTCCATCTTGCTAGCGTGGGTTCAGAGTAGAGTTGTGAATTCAGGGGAGGACCCCAGAGGTCTGCTCCTGGTTGAGGGCGTGGCGCACACAAGGAGGGGCGGCAGAGGAGGGAGGAACTGGAAACTTGGCCCATTTTTTTTGGGAAATGGGAAGTACTGTGAAGCAGGAACCTCTTTTGTGCCTGTTTCTGCCAAATGTCTTGGTCCCATTGATGGAATTTTGTGTTCTAGCCTTCCCTCTTGCTCCTGAATATTTTCCTAGCTTTATGTTCCACTTTCCTTTGTTTTTCTCATTTATTCCTTACCCTGTGGGACAGTAGCTTCCTCTGAGCCATCTTAAATAGGTGGAATATGCAGAAGCAAACTAACAGCCCCATTATACCTACATAGATCTTCCTCAACTTAAGATGGGTTATGTCCCAACAAGCCTAACATAAGTTGAAAATATTATATTAACACATTGAAAATGCATTTAGTGTCCTCAATATCATAGCTTAGCCTCTCCTGCCTGAAATGTGCTCCAGAATACTTACATTAGCCAATAGTTAGAAAAAAATCGCCCAACATGGAGCCTATTTTATAATGTGATTGATTGAATACTGTACTGAAAGTGAAAAACAGAACTGTTGTCTGGTACAGAATGATTGTCAGTGTATCAGTTGATTACTCTGGTGATCAATAAGCTCACCACCACAGCCCAGCATCCCAAGAAAATATCACACTCTATCACTAGGCCGAGAAGAGATGAAAATTCAAAATTTGAAGTATGGTTTCTACTGAATGTGTGGTCCGTAGAATGTGTGGTCACTTTCACACCATCATGTGGTCAGTAAGTCACAGATGAAGTTGTCTTGAGTCGGGGACTTCTGTATTTAAACACCCAGCAGGATCCCCATTTTCTTGCTGGGCCGTAGTCTCAGAGGGACCTTACACGATGCATGGATGAGGGTGCCAGTGAGATAGGATACCCCACTTCCCAGGGCAGGAAGTTACCCGAGTCAGGGCGCGAGTGGAGACTGACAGGGAAGGTGCCCAGGTGAGCAAGGGCGGTAAGTGGGCAGGGGAGCCGGTGCTCCCCAGGGGGCGGGAGGGCAGGGCGCTGGAAGCCGGTCCCTCGCCGGGAGGGGCACAGACCAGACCGATGCCCCCGAAACCCTAAAGCCCGTTCTCAACTGTGGCCCCCAGGCAGGGCTCAACGTCATCAAAGAATCAGAGGCACAGCTGTGGTGGGCAGCCAAGGAGCTGCGACGTACAAAGCAGCTTTCGGACTACGTGGGGAAGAATGAGAAAACCAAAATCATCGTCAAGATCCAGCAGGTGAGCGCTTTGACCTCGCTGTGTTGCTGTTGTCGTTTGCTTAACTTCCTTTCACACAGATAAAAACTTACAGTAACTCTGAAAGATTTAAAACTCACGACGCAGGCACTCTAATCCTGTGTGGTCCAAGCGTAAAACGGTCCTCTTTGTGGAGCAGCGAAAACTGGAAGGAAAGGGGGATCAGTTGACAGCATCTGGAGTTTGTTTGGGGTTTTTCAGTTTAAAGAAAGTCTCCGTGGCTGCACAAGGCGTTTCTCCAGCTGGGGTGAGCAGGCCCTCCTCTCTGTGCAGCGCGGGCCTCTCGTTGCAGAGCGGGGCTCCGGCGCCCAGGCTGGCGTCTGCAGTGCCTGGGCTCAGCCACTCCTCAGTGTATGGAATCTTCCCAGACGGCCTCGACCTGTGCCCCCTGCCCTGGCAGGCGGGTTCTTAACCCTTGGACGACCAGGGAAGTCCTGGAGTCCTTTTAATTAGGCGGGAAAGGAGAGTGTACCAAGTTGATTTCAGCTTTAAAAATAGGGCTTACAAGTAACCCAGATTGTTTCTTGAGATGAAAAATACCGCCCCGAGCACTGATCTCTAGTGTTTCAAAGTGCTGATGGTCTGTGAATGAGGCGGAGGGCTGGAGACCTGTAAAGACCTGGTGTAGAGCTGTGTGCCTGCAGGCTGCTGTGTTCCCTGCTCTCTCCTAAGCCATTTCTCTAAAGTTTGGGGGAAACAGGGTGGCCTCCACGATTATCGCTACCCCTTCCCCCTAGACCTGCAGACCTCCAGCCTGCACCGTGACGGCCTAGAGCACGAGTGAGGCTCCCTTGACGATTCACTCTGCATGATGAGAGATGCATGACCTGTTTCATTTCAGTTCAGTTCAGTTGCTCAGTCGTGTCCGACTCTTTGCCACCCCATGGACTGCAGCACGCCAGGCCTCCCTATCCATCACCAGCTCCCAGAGTTTGCTCAAACTCATGTCCATCGAGTCCGTGTTGCCATCCAACCATCTCGTCCTCTGTCATCCCCTTCTCCTCCTGCCCTCAGTCTTTCCTAGCATCAGGGTCTCTCCCAGTGAGTGAGCTCTTCACATCAGGTGGCCAAAGTATTGGCGTTTCAGCTTCAACATGACCTGTTTAGCCGTCCACAAAGGACAGTTTGGGCTTTGGGCTTCCCAGGTGGCACAGTGGTAAATAATCTGCCTGCCAGTGCAGGAGACCCAGGAGACAGAGGATTCCATCCCTGGGTTGAGAAGATCCCTGGAGTAGGAAATGGCAACCCGCTCCGGTATTCTTGCTTGGAAAGAATCCCACTGACAGAAGAGCCTGATGGGCTACAGTCCACGGGGTCACAGCGGGTCGGACCCAGCTGAGCACAAAACAACCACCGCAGCACAAAGGCAGTTGTAAGACAGGAGCTGCGCCCTCCTGGGTCACCCACAGTGCGCTGTCCCCTCGTCTTTTCAGAGGGGCCAGGGGGCTCCAGCTCGAGAGCCCATCATCAGCAGCGAGGAGCAGAAACAGCTGATGCTGTACTACCACAGAAGACAGGAGGAGCTCAAGGTACCATGGGGCTGCCGGGACGGGGCGCCCACCCCTCCCCGGCCCCCCCCCGGCCCTGGCGCAGGACGTGGCGGGGCACCTTCTGAGCTGCAGCCTCGCCAGGGCTGTGCCTGGTGTCCCCTGCACTGGAGTCTGGAGGTGTCCTGCTTCTCTGAGGAGGCAGGGAGCGGGGAGGTTGGTCGTGGATTCTGTCCTGGAATGCCCTCCTGAGCGAAACCCATGTTTTTCCAGAAACTGGAAGAAAATGATGACGACTCCTGTTTAAATTCTCCGTGGGCAGATAACACTGCTTTGAAAAGACATTTTCATGGAGTAAAAGACATAAAGTGGAGACCCAGATGAAGTTCACCCGTTGGCAAATCTTTCCAAAATATTAGCTCACCTTTCTTTAGGCAAAATAATAATAACCATAGCTTAAAACAAGACAGCCACCACCCTTTGTGAACATTGTTGAAATCTCTAGTTTTCCTTTCAGTTTGAATTTTTTTTTTTCCAGTTTGAATTTTTAAAAGAAAAGTGAGTTATTCAAGGTTTTGGAACATAATAAACACATTCTCAAAAGAATCTGGCTAAATTATTTTTATAATCTGTCTACTATTTGAGGCTTTTCTTTGGCAAGATACTGAAGGTATAGTTTCATTTTTCCTCCCTGATTGCTTGATTTTCCATTCTCATGACATTGCAGGATGTTGAAGGTACCTTTTCCTCCACAGCGAGTCAGGGGTCCGCTGTGATACTTGGCCATCAGTGGCCACTAGAGGCCGCCCGATGCTGAGTCTTGTTTCAGAGACAGCCGTGATCGGCCAGAGGGTCTCAGGCAGCCTGGCGTCTCCCAGCTTCAAAGGTGAAGTTCTGCCCCTGGGCGATAACCTGGCTGGCCTTGTCTTCCAGGTGTGAAGGCCGCACCTGGGAGCGAAGTTGGGTGGCCAGAGCGGGCTAGCCTTGAAACGGGGCAGATCCCTGTGTCGTTTCTGGGCTCTTCCCGAAACCGCCCGCAGACCCTGGTCACGGACGGCTGTCCCCGTGGGCTCAGCCTGCAGCTCGCTGCGTGCTGAGCTTGGCACCGAGACTGCCAGAGGCCAGCCGTGTTGGCTCGGTGGCCATGTGGCTCACTCGTCATCCCGCCTGGCTTTCTGGTTCACGTTTTTGAGTTTTAAATTCTCCCAGCTCATCTCTGCAAGTGCAGATTTTTCAGCAGCTCAAGGACATCTCTCAGGCTGTGCAGGCAGAGGCAGCGCACGCGTCTGGCCCTGCTTCGTTTGGCCCATAGAGGACTCTTCTCCGAGCGGGGGGAAAGGCATCGTGCTCACTCCGAGGAAGAGCGAAGTGACACGGATGCTCCCTGCCCTGGTCTGCCTTGTGCCCACTGCTGCGCTGGAGCCCAGGGTGGGAGCCGGGACCCTCGGTTCCCAGGCCTGGTGCCGTAGTGGCAGGCGGGGCCTGGCCGGGTCTGCCCCTGCCCTTCTCCACACGCCAGCGAGGCTCGCTCAGACTCTCGTGGGTTGCCATTTCCTTCTCCCAGGGCTGACTACCTACTCAAATTTCTGCTGTTTTCGAAACCACATCTTCTAAAGTGGCTTGTAACTTGGCTGTTTGCCGTGACTGTGTCTTACTCTTGATTGTCAAATTTTGTAAAATCAAGTTTGCATTGGTTTTCTTGTTGACCTCCATTCTTTTAATTTTTATTGAAGTATAGTTGACTTAATGTTAGTTTCAGGCCTAACGTTTCATCATGACCTTAAATGTCTCCATGGTGAGCTTGTGTCCTTGGATGATACAAAGTTCCCAGTAAGATCCTGGGACTTCACATGAGGAGCGCCCGCTCTTGTCATTGTCTAGTTGATGTGCAGGCATGACAGCCACACTCGACTTGCAAATAAAAGTTAAGCCACACGATCACAGTAGCTCTTCTTAAGAATCACTCTTTCCACGTCACTGTGAATTCTGGGCTTCCCTGGTGGCCCAGTGGTAAAGAATCCGCCGCCAGTGCAGGAGACGCAGGTTCAGCCCTGATCCGGGATGGCCCCGCGTGCTGCAGAACCACTAGGTGTGTGGGCCACGGCTGTTGAGCCTGTTGCTCTTAGAGCCTGGGAGCTACATCTTTTGGGCTCACGTGCTGCAGGAGCTGGAGGCCACGCTCCCTAGAGCCCATGCTCTGTGGCAGGAGGAGGAGAAGCCTGCGAACCTCAACTAGAGAAAAGCCAGAGCAGCTGCAAAGACCCAGCACAGCCATAAATAAATAGAACTTAAAAAAAATTCTTGAGTCCATGGGATTTAAATGCTTTCTGTGGCCATGATGGTTACTCTGTTGCTTCACATAATCACCGGAAGTTGTTAACCAAAGGGCCACTGGCTTCTGAGTATAGAGATCACTACATTGCTAACATCACACCATATGGCTTTTGTTGGATACTGACATGAAATGAACAAGAACCTCTCCACCTCATAACCCCCATCCTGAAATGTGGAAGTGAAAGTCTCTCATTTGTGTCTGACTCTTTGCGACCCCATGGACTATACAGTCCCTGGAATTCTCCAGGCCAGAATCCTGGAGTGGGTAGCCATTCCCCTCTCCAGAGGATCTTCCCAACCCAGATGTTGAACCTGGGTCTCCCACATTGCAGGCAGATTCTTTACCAGCTGAGCCACAAGGGAAGCCCAAGAATACTGGAGTGGGTAGCCTGCCCCTTCTCCAGGGGATCTTCCCAACCCAGGGATCAAACTGGGGTCTCTTGCATTGCAGGTAGATTCATTACCAACTGAGCTACCAGGAAAGCCCCCCCCCCCCACCCTGCCACACACCCTGAGGTCTATCTGTCCTGAAGTAGTTGCCCCTTAAAAGTACTGCAGCCACCCCCTCGTGGCTGGCTGTCTATAAGGAAATTGAGATGGGCTGTCCGGCTCGCTCTGGGCCTCCACAGGTTGATTCCCTTCATGTCAACCCCTGAGAAAGGTGCTGGTGACCTCAGATGGGTCATCTTTGCTCACGTCGCTAATAAGGGTAGAAGGGCTTCCCTGATAGCTCAGGGATAGGGTACCCACTCCAGTATTCTGGCCTGGAGAATTCCGTGGACTCGATACATAATGAGGTCACAAAGAGTCGGACATGACTGAGCGACTTTCACTTTCACTTCAGGGGTAGAGAGTCAAGCGCCACGCCCAGGGCTTCCCAAGAAATCAACTTAGGGGAAGTCATCTTGCCAAACAGCAGGCTATGAATCAGCTTAAGCTTTAGGGCTTGATGTGACTTTTTTTAAAAAAAATCCCATACATCTGTGGATCAATATCCAGGAAACGCAGTGTCTGCTGTCATTTGGGGGCCAGGCTGGGTCTGTGATCTCGTGCTATGTAACGTGTCTTCTCACGCGGTTGTTTCAAGGAGACCAGGAATGCTCATAATAAAATTTGACACCACCCCATGCCCCTTCAGCTGGCAAACTGAGACCCCAGGCAGTATTTCTGTTGCAGAATTACCTTGTTCCTTGCCAACTGCTCTGTGAAGGAAGTGCCATCAAGCTTGGAATCAGATGCCACAATCTTAGGGCACACCGTTTTGTTGTTGGGCAGTCACTAAGTCATGCGTAACTCTTTGCAACCCCATGGACTATGGCATGCCAGACTTCCCTGTCCTCCACTATCTCCTGGAGTTTGCTCAAACTCATGTCCATCGAGTCAGTGATGCCATCGAACCATCTCACCCTCTGTCGTCTCTTCTCCTCCCGCCTTCAATCTTTCCCACTATCAGGGTCTTTTCAATGAGTCAGTTCTTCACATCAGGTGGCCAAAGTATTGGAGTTTCAGCTGCAACATCAGTCCTTCCAATAAACACCCAGGACTGATTTCCTTTAGGATGGACTAATTGGATCTCCTGTCAGTCCAAGGGACTCTCAGGAGTCTTCTCCAACACCACAGTTCAAAGCATCAATTCTTTAGCACTCAACTTTCTTTATGTTCCAACTCTCACATCCATACATGACTACTGGAATGGTCTATGTATACCTAGATGCTAAATAATGTGCTAGTGAACTTCAGGAAGGAAAGAGCCACAGAACACACATCTGTGAAGGGCCCCAAACAGGGGTGCCTTCTCCAGAACAGGCAGATGGCAGCCTCGATTATTTTAGTGTCTGAGGCCAACAGTGATGGGACCACGGGTCCTAAGTCTGCTTTAGTTCACCAACCACTGAAAAAGGGGAGAGAGAATTACACCAATTTTTTTTTTTTTTTTTTGGCCATGAGGCATGCAAGGTCTTATTACCCAACCAAGGATTGAAACCACACCCCCTGCAGTGGAAGCTCGGAGTGGAGTCTTAACCACTGGACCACCAGGGAAGCCCAAGTGAGCCCATCCTTGAGATGCTTTAAACTAATAGACACTTGGCTCGGCTCTGAAACCACTGTCCTGAGTGATTAAAAATGACTCTGGGGTTGCGTCCCAGCTGGAGGTGGTCACAGGACTCTGCCCATAGGATTCTGGGCCATGCTCTCATGGCAGAGGTTAGCAGATGAATAAATTCCCACAGACTGAATCTCAGTCTATCATTCCTTTGAATAGATTGAACTCTGCGTTCAGAGTAAGGCAACAAGCGCCACAGCTGTCTGGCTCTTCCAGTCATAGGGCAGGATTCCAAGACGCCGTGAGCCAGCATCATCACTAAATGCATATTGCAAAGCACCAAAAACCTCATTTGCGGTTTTGTCACTGAAACGCCTGCTCCTACAACTGGCCTTGTTCAGCAGCCGCATAACCACAGCTGTGTCCCTGCCTTGGCCCGAGCCCTCCCTGTTTACACTGTGCTGGACCAGGTCCTCTAGGCTCTGAGAGACTGTGTTTCAGTAGTAAATTAGCAAAATAAAAAATGCAGTCCTGCTGGGAATTCCCTGGAGGTCCAGTGGTTAGGGCTCTGTGCTTTCATTGCCAAGAGCCCGGGTTCGATCCCTGGTCAGGGAACTAGGATCCTGCAAGCCGTACAAGTCAAGCTATGTTTTTTCCAGTGGTCATGTACAGATGGGAGAGCTGGGCCATAAAGAAGGCTAAGCACCGAAGAATTGATGCTTTCAAACTGTGGTGTTGGAGTAAACCCTTGTGACTCATTTAAATGACAGCAAGAAGATCAAACCACTCAATCCTAAAAGAAATCAATTCTGGATATTCATTGGAAGGACTGATGCTGATGCTGAAGCTCCAATACTTTGGCCACCTGATGTGACATGTTAGAAAAGACCCTGATGCTGGGAAAGATTGAAGGCAGGAGGAGAAGGGGATGACAGAGGATGAGATGGTTAGATAGCATCACTGATTCAATAGACATGAATTTGAGCAAACTTCGGGAGATAGTGGA